AGGATCAAATCCTAGCACCTACTGAACTCTTTTGACTTTAGTAGGAACTGTGTGATGCTCAGAAGCTCTCACCAAAGCTTTTCTTCAGCCCAGAGTCTCCCACAATTCTGTTCCCTTCCGCTCTGCAGTTCTGTAGGCAGCTCAGTATTGTAACGCAGCCTGTGCTGGCCGCACCACCTTCTCCAGTTTGCCACCTGGCAATTTATTCCAAAGCTGTGTGAAAACTCTTAGGATGTGATTAGTAACAATAACTTCAATGCCAACCAGTGGCCTATGTACAGTGGTTAACTGGGTCACAAACTGTAGATATAAAAATTTGGCTAATAAGTCATCCAGGGAAGGTAGAATTGTTGGAAATGCAGCTAGCAGAATGGGAAATTTCTTACCCATCCTATCATTCAGAATAAAAACATCTATGCTAAATATATACCCATTTGTAATGGATAGCTGATTAACTTTATTTACAAATACTTTGACTTGGGATTTTAATGCACATTTCAATTTAAAATACTTATTCTTTGAATTTTTTTTAAAGAAGCTAGGGCTTTTCAAAGTCTCTAGAGATGCCAATTTGAAAAGTGACCTGGAAGGATATGCCTGGATAAATGTTTGTGCTGGTTAGTGACTGAGTCAACACAAACTTTGCCAGTTGTACATCACAGTATAGATCATATCCTCCTTAACAGCTTATTGGTGTTGCAGGTTCCTACACATTCGGAAGCACATTCACTGTGCTATCAGTATAATCTTGTGCCACTTTCCAAACCTTGGAGGATTCTCATCAGCTGCTCAGAACATGTAGATTTTCCTTCTGATCACTGAGCTGTAATCAAAATCATTGCAAAGACTAACTCTAATCTTGCCCCTAATTAAACCAGTAATTGTTTTGCCATTGACTTCAACAGGGGCCAGATCAAGTCCTCCAGGTGGGGAGCAGTTGAGGGAAACTGGAATACATTTTTTCAATGAAAATGTACCAGTGGGGGCACTCCTTATGATATAAGAGTCATCTTCTGCTTGTGGCACAGGCGCCAGAGTTACTTCGTTTCCGTTCCCTGTATCTCCCCACTGTTATTTACAAGACAACATGTCTACACACACACATATATATATTTAGAGGGGAACTTGTAATTTTACAAGGTAATAACTAGATTGGGGATTAACTAAACACCAAAGTGAAAAAGGGCAATGGGCCACATTTTCAAAAGTACTTGATTTCAATGGTTGTTAGATGCCTAATCTGCTTTATGTGCTTTTGAAAATCCCACAAGGTGCGTATTGCCTCTTTAGATGCCTAAATACCTTTGGAAATCTGTCCCTTGGTGCTTTCAGAAAAGAAACCCAGCTCCCCACATAGATGATGAGATGGAGTTTGGGTTTTAAAATGACACTAAATATCATAAAAAATTATACAATCTGCTGTTAGCTCCCTATAATTCAATTCCAAAAACCTCATTTAAAGAGTTAGAACTAGAGTGCCCTATAGATCCATGTAGAGTGTGGACCTTCCAGGTGCTCAATCCTACACCCACTGAAGTCAATGGGAAAAGTCGCACTGACTTCAGTGATGCAGGATCAGATCCTAAGTGTGGATCTCCCCCCATTGTTTAGTGCTTTCTTTTCTCACTTATGGATTTTAGAGACCCAGAGAGGTGACTGCATGGATTAAAACTCCAAACAGTTCCCTCAACTCAGTTCATGCACATCTGTGTACTTCATTCACAATTACAGCAAAATACATTGTGTTTACCTACCATATGTCATTAATGTATTTGCTTCCTTCCCATTGCTAATGTTTCTATTTACATTAGTGTTGTCTTTTTCATTACTCATCCACTTCTCATTTTATCCAATAGCATCTGAATGTATAATATATGCCTCTGTTGTCCCACTTGTGGTGACAAGTGAAAGGAGATAAGGGTTTAACTGAAAATGTCCTTTCTTTGATATTGTGTGTGCTTTACAAATTTTGAAATAATGGGGAAAATATTTTTAAATGACTCAAAATAAATAAAATCTTCTTAAAATGATTAATTATCAATGTCAATATTATACAATATAATATTAGATACAAAATCCAAAGCAATGGTAATTATACATGGCATTCATCAAGTAAGTACTGATTTGGCTCTGTTTTTTCTATTAGTAGAACATAAGGGTTTTTTTTAATTCTGAAAGCTCTTTTAGGAAATTGGCCTGCACCCATATAAAAGAATTCCACCAAATCTATTTTTAATAAAATAGATATTGTAAAGAGGAGATCAGCTTCCAAAATGTTTTAATTGAATTTTGGGAATTTCTATTCAAAGCAAACAAAAGTAAAAACTCTCACTTGTACAAAGTTATCTCTAGGCAGTATGGGAACTCTGAGACTATATTGATTCCAATCCCTATATGCATAGTGGTTATATTTTATGATTAGTAGTTATGGCTTCTATATTTTTATAGTCACAATCTGGCTGTACATAAGAATTTGGTTTTATGGTGACTCTAATCAGGTCCTTATCTTCTCTCTGAACCTTTTGTCTTTGTGTCTGTGTTTTGCTGCATGGCGAGCACATTCATTTACTGAACTGTGTATAAAGTAATGTCATTGGTATTTAACATTGTGTTTATAACTGTTTGCGCTGCTAGCTGCTACACTGAAGCAACCATGCTGTTCTCAAGGCAGTCAACCCTTGATGATTTAGATGGACCAGACACTGTTCCTAAAACAAGTGAGCGCGCTCGACCTAGGCTTCGTAAAATGTACAGCATGGATATGTCCTCCTCATCAGCTGACAGTGGCAGTATAGTGTCAAGGTGCTTAACTCATGCATGCTTTGTTCACTCATTTACCCTGGCCATTCTACATGTGACATTGTATACATGTGAAGATGTGTGTGTTTAAAACAATTTGCATGCTTATTGGAAGCTTCATTCCCTTGTATATTGTGACAAGACTGTGAGGTACAAGACAGTATCATAAACCAGTTACGTATTTGTTATTTTGCTTTTAAAAAAAAAAGTCCCCTATTCTTTTATTCATTATAACCTGATCTGTAATTTTGACCTTTGAATGTTGACTCCTGCATCCATATATAGGAACCTGAATAAAAAAAGGGGCTGATTTTCAAAGGTGCTGAACCCCCAGCAGCTACCATTGACTTCAGTGGAATTTATGGGAGCTCAGCTCTTCAAATAATCCAGTACCTAAATATGGATTTAGGAATCTAATTTTAGGCATCCATCTCTGCAAATTTTGGCCACGCTCCTTTCATTTTTAGTTACTCTCTTCATAGGAAAGAATTGTTAAATATGTTTTGAATTCTCTTCCACTGACTTACAGACTCTGAAGTTTTGGAATTAAGACGGGAAATTATTAAGAAAAGATAGCGAGCAATATAAACAAACAGTGAAAGAAAAAACATGTTAGAGAACTGTTCCAGAGCTGTTCACTCAGTTTTGCAACTCAAGACTAAAATTGCCTAAATTTTATATGGCTTCAAGATATAAAAGCAATGTTTCAAATTTCATTTCAAAAATAAAATTGTATGGCATATTAGGTCATTCTACTTCCATATTGCACACTGTTTTAGCAACTTCTGGGTGTTGATTTATTTTGAAATTCAGCATTTTACATTCTCACTCATTAATCATCTTTAAAGGAGCTATTTACTATTAAGAATCACCAAAATGTACATTCAAGCAACAGCTACCATCAGGTTACTTCTGAAAACTCTCACTAGAAGTTAAAAGGTGACCTAACATAGCTACAGTTTGAAAATGATTTCAAAGGAAAAGGGTATAGAAATCTATTTTGAATTTTGGCAGGAGGTAGTATTGTCAACTGGCTTTTACAATAGCAAGTTTATTATATATATATTGGGTAAGATCCTAGTGAAGTCAAAGGGAGCTCTGCCATTACCAGTCAGTATTTCAACCTTTGTCTCTTTGGAGAGCTGTAAAAGGATGTGATGCATGTAAAATCCATGTTGTTCCTTTTTATTATCTGACTGTTGGAGCTGGGATGGGGGCAAACAGGAGAGGAACATATGGGAGCGAAGAAAGAGAAGAACCTAGGAATAGGGGAAGAGTGGGGCATAGCTAAAAGAAGGCAAGAAGCAAAGCAAGGACAGGAAAGTAGCTGAAGGGGGATAGCCAGATTCTCAGTTAAGTCAATGAGCTGCACCAATTTACACCAGCTGAGAAGCTGATGCAGAGAGGAGCAAACACAGAATGGTGGCAGGAGAGATGAAAAACACATAAAGCGGAGTAGAGCTTTGTCAAGCAAGGTGGAGAAGCAGAGAGGTAGGTGAGCAGATAAAAGTGAGTAAGAACAATGTGAAAAGAGAGGAAGTACACACAGAAGAGGAAAGAGGCAGGTAAGCCAAAGAAGTGAAGAAGAAAAATGGAGAGTGAACTGAAGGTAAGATACCATAATACCCTGCTACTCAAACAGTTATTTACTCTGGATGGCATTACTCCATGTTTGCAGTTGGCCTACCCTTTTATATAGATATAGCATGAAACGTGAGGGGATGGATTCTGTGTGTCCAATTGAATTTTGCCTGCAAGCTGCAGTTTTGAAATGATAAAGCTATGATTGTTAGAAATGTTACATTTACAATTAAGTATATGCATTCCTATATTATACTGTAGCATCATCCAGCTCACTTGAAACAAATGTAGAAATATGCTCTAATTGTGTTTAGAATTTGTTTGTTCTAAGAAAATTGTGTGCAACTTCCCTCTTTGTCAGCATTAATCTGTCCTGTCTTGGTTTGGAACTGTATTGAATCACTGCAAGCTCAACATGCAATCACTCCGCGTGCAAATGGATCAGTGTTTTTTATGTGTAAGGAAGAGGTGACAGCAGTACATCTTCTGCCAACTGCAGTGAATTTTCAAAGTTTGGGAGCAGAGTGAGGGCTTGCCAATATTTCCAGGTCAAAACAGAGTTAGCAAAGTTTTCCGAGTAATTGTGTTAAGAGAGAAATCCTTTTTCTTCCTCCTGACAGTGAACCTACCCAGGTCACCATGCTGTATTCTCGTCAGGGCACAACAGAAACCATTGAAGAAGTAGAAGGGGAGCATGAAGAAGAAGGGGCAGGTTCTACATCAAGACGAGAAGATGAGGTGGACGATTATGGCTTGGATTCAGAAGGAGCTGCGTACACTCCTGATACTGACGTGCCATCATACTCTGCTGCGGATGGCAATGCCGAAATTCCACCTTCATACAGCAAAGCTGTCAGCTTTGATCATCTTTCCTTCAGTTCCCAAGATGACTCTGCTGGCAAGAACCTCATGATGGTGAGCCCAGATGACAGTCAAATTGACAAGCTAAATGATACTATCCTCCCTCCATTGACACACGATCTGACTGCCAGTGAGCTGCTTCTAAACAAGTAAGAAACTTTAGAGAAGAAAAAACGTAGTCTTTGAAGTTTTCCTAAATATTTTAATTCCTGTTTCAGGAGGTGTTTTCTGTCTAACTACTGCTGTTATTAGTGAGGATTTTTCTCTCAAAAATTGGTTTTAATTGTGGGGTGGGGCTGTTTCTCTCTAATTGTTTTAATTTTATTTGGGAAAGGTCCTTCCTTCTAAAATTACATGGAAAAAAATCTCTGCTTCTCCCCCAACACACACTTAGTTAATAGCCCCCATTGCCATTGGATTTCTGCAGTTCAAATTCAATGGCAATGCTGCACTCCTTCATGGGCTGCAGCATACTCCCCTCCCCACCATGCAGCCAACAAGTTATCCTGACCAGTGCTTGGGAGTTGGAGCCAATAGCTCTTCTTTCTCATCTTCCTTTGTGACATCATTCTTCCCAAGGACAGTAAGGAGGGAGCTTTCCCTGTTCTCCCTTGCTTGCAGACACTGAAATTCTGCCCAGCCCTTATGCAGGCCACATAATATGTGAAAAGTCTCCTTATTCCTTCCTTTACCACAGTGCACTTGCATAAGGGCCAGGCAGAATCTCAAATCCCAGAAATGGTCCCATCCGCTCAGTTAGAACTAGACCAAAAGGCACCACACTCCCTGAGCAAAGCAAGTGCTTTTTCGTCTATGCTTCCATGTTCCTTTGTTTTTCAGGTATTCAACCAAATCTTTCCAAAGGCTGGAACATTCAAAGTGTTGACAAGACAAAAAAGCTCTTCTTTTATGCTATGACTGTGCAGTGCCTAGTACACCGAGGTTCTGGCCCATGACTAGAGCTCCTAGGCGCCACCGTAGTACAAATAATAATAAATAAATGACACTCTTGAAAAGCAGAGAGATTTAAATCTATGTGCGTTCATGTAATAATTTTACACTTGTCACAATTTTATTATGTTTTTAACATCAGCTTGTTTTTTTTATTAACAGTCGGGTTTACCCTAACAGTCAAAGAAGACAAGGCACATCTGGTGGCTAAAATAAAAATGGCATTCATTCTGATCTCACTTACACTAATTTCACACCAGTGTAACTGTACTGACTTTTAATGGAGTTATTCCCGATTCCTGGTATAAGTAGATCAGAACTGGATCCAATGTCTCACTACCAGAACATGATTTGCAGATGAGGTGCAATGATTAGGTGTTTATCGGCAAGCTGATTGTTTTCATGTATTAAATACCAAACTAGCACTTCCAAATGGTTTACTGTGAATTGTCACTGGAGTTTAATGTTACATGAATTTATTTAGCATCAGGCTATGTTACATATATTTGTTTAGAATACCAAATTCTCTTCATGTTTACAGATTTTCCAACAGAATCTGGAACCATTATAAAGGAGAAAACAGTAATAATAAAAATCAGCTCTCGTGAATTTCATATTGATGTCATTCATAGAACTCTTCTTCTCACAGGATGTTTCGTGATGAAGAGCTGGAGGAATCAGAGAAATTTTACAGTGGTCAGCCTCGACTATTGCTTCTCGTTTATGCCCTGTATAATACACTGGTGGCCCGGTCAGAAATGGTGTGTTATTTTGTGATTATCCTTAATCACATGATATCTGCCTCCATGATTACCCTTGTGCTTCCCATCCTTATATTCCTTTGGGCCATGCTGTCTGTCCCCAGGCCGAGCAAACGCTTCTGGATGACAGCCATTGTCTACACTGAGGTATGCCATTACTCCTACATCCTTATTTGTCAAACACATTGGGAACAGATAACATGCTCTTTTGCGAATAAAAGTGAATAATAAGCCGCTCAGGGCAGGAATTGTCTCTTTTCTGTGCTTGTACATCTCTCCTTTGGGCATTATAATACAAATATATACTAAAAATAACATCCTTGGGCATTGGTGTGAGAGGTGATTGTTTGATTTTTCCGTTCTGCACTTGGCTGACCTCCTTCTAGTTTTAAAAAGGCAACATCTACTAATAGCTACCATCTAGCGGTATCCAAGATACTGCAGTTACTGTCTCTTGTATTTATAGGAAAATAACTGCGGTATCTCAAATGCCACTGGGTAGCACTTGTTGGTAAACACTGATTTTTTCATGGCGACCCCTCTAATTGGAATGTATGAAAACATAATTAGTTTCACAGAACAATAAATGCACTAATTAATCTAATTTTAAAAAAACCATGAAATAGTCACATGGTATTTCATGTTCCTGACATGAGGTTACTTGTCTGTCAGTTGAATGGTGTTTGGATAATTGTTCTTGATACATTATGTTTCCGTACAGGTGACCATTGTTATCAAGTACTTCTTCCAGTTTGGCTTCTTTCCCTGGAATAAACATGTGGATTACACCAAAGATAAACCTTACCATCCGCCCAATATTATTGGTATTGAAAAGAAAGAGGGTTATGTACACTATGACCTTGTTCAGCTCCTTGCTTTGTTCTTCCATCGATCCATTTTAAAGGTAAACTGAGATAAAAGGCATGTCTTTATTTTATTTAATTTTTATAGTCATTCCTATGACGACTCAGCACAATGAATTTGTCTTCGCAGTACCCCTGTGAGGTAAAATATTACTATGTCCATTGTACAGATGGGGAAACTAAAGAACAGAGAGATTGTGTGGCTTGCCTAGTATCCTACAAGTTGGCTGTGGCAGAACAAGGAATAGAGTGGAAACCTTCTGGTTCCACTGTGCAGGGCCATTCTCCCTCTCTGTCCCTTGTTCATCAGCACTTTTACAGGTTTATTTACAGGTGTTGAGTTAACATTAGTTTAACTTTTTTAATTAAGTTACTTTATTTTAAAATGAAAAGGAGTACTTGTGGCACCTTAGAGACTAACCAATTTATTTGAGCATAAGCTTTCGTGAGCTACAGCTCATTTCATCGCATGCGCATCATCGCATGAAAACTCCTTTTCTTTTTGCGGATACAGACTAACACGGCTGCTACTCTGAAACCTGTCTTTATTTTAAAATATTTTTGCCATTTAAATTGTGAAGACTCCATTTTCTAAGGAAATGTTTGGCCTTGACACTCATTAAAAGCCTGAAGACATCTCAACAAAAAAATACTGATCTCATTGCTGACTTTGCAGATAGTATGTCCCCAAAGGTAGGCAAAGTGGCCATTTCTTATGTTTGGTGTGTCCATAGCAATGAGTGAAACATTTATTCGTCCTTAAGAATTTTTCGAATTATCAATATAGTCAAATCTTAATTGTCTAACACCAAGCAACTAAAACTCTTATATGTGAACAATAGATATGACACCTGAGATTTGCCTTCAGCACACGTCTTTTGGGGCTGCTTAGGCAGTATTGTTTTCTTTCATACTGAAATACTTTAATGACATTTGTGTGGATGGACAATTGATCTTTTTCTTTTTTTTCTTTCTGGAAATGGGATGAAAATGGAGGGGAGAATTGAGGTGTACAGTTGAAATGAACCAAGGAAAATATCATGGAAGGGGTATATTTTGATGAAATCCCTGATTTTATGGCTGTGGCTCATTCATAATTTATCCCCAGAAACCTAAGGAAAGTACTGCCCTACACATAATATTGTTGCAAAATTTAAAACTGGCACCTACTACAACACAAATATAATAATATCTCTAACTAGATTTATTCTAAAATGGACATTAAGTAGGCACTTCCTTTGCCTCGTTTGTGTCCCAGAACACATACTGATTGCTATGTAACTTTCAGATATTTATTATATCCCTTTAGTCAAACAAACTTCGATGACTTCAAATTAAAAAGGGGATCTGAGCCTTATAAATATCAGAATAGAAAGACAGAAGATGCTCGTAATTATATAGTCTGTTTTGCAGCACAATAAATATCACCCTAACTGATGTACAAGAGTGACATGCTTTTCCTCCTTTCTCCACCAGTGCCATGGGTTATGGGATGAAGATGATGAAGGTGAAAGCTGCAGTAGTAAAGAGGAATATGGCGATGAGCTCTCACTGACAGCAGGCAGGAGAGATTCTGCTGACTCTTTAAAGTCAGTGAACCTTGCGGCTTCTGTGGAATCCATACATGTCCACTTCCCAGAACAGCAGACTGCCGTCAGGAGGAAAAGTTCCAGCAGTGGGTCACAACTTTCACACAGATCCAGTTTGTCCTCACACAGGTCAAAGAGAGGTATGTGTCACAGCGCTACTGGGCCTTGAAAACCAGTAGCTCACTTCTGATTAGATGATTCTGTTGAGACCTTTGATGTATTTCTGTGGAGAGCTCAGAAAACATTTAACACAACGGCTGCTTTTTGAGACCGGGAAATATGCGAATCAAAATCCCGGATACTTATAGAGATGGGCCCAACCAACACCCAGAAGTGAACTCCCTCAACTTTGACAAAGTTCAGATCCAGATCCAAGCACTACAGACAGTGCTTTCTCTATAATTTGCTGGCACTGAACATTCCAAATCTTTGGGAAGGTCCAGATCCAAACTTTATGGCTCAGCACCATCTCTAATTAGCAGGAATTCATAGTGAACTTCTTTTTGTTACCATCTGAGGTCATATGGTAATGAAGTGAGGAAAGTATTGATTTTGTGATATTGTGACAGATCACCTTCCCTATCTCCTGAAGAGGAAGACTTCACTATAGTTTGGAGAGAGATATAGATAGATAGATAGATAGATATTAGATTATAGATATCCAAATCAATATCACAAATCTATCAATCTCTCTCTATATACACACACCATCCTGGCAACTGAAGCAGGCCAGTTACATCAGTTTTGGTACCAACTCTTTTTTATAGCCATATTAAGTCAAGGTTTGATTCAGCCAGTTGTCAAGTCTGTGTCAAACAGTCAAGACTTTACTATATATGTCTATATTAAAAAAAGGTGTCTGGTTTCATTTAAAAACTTCTTAAATGTGCAACTTATTTACACGGGTTATACTCTGTGATTTCATTCCTTCTGTATTTTTATCTAAACTTTGATTTTAATTGGATGCCTTCTTTCTTGTTTTCTTCCTCCCATCCTCACTTCCAGGGAGCACCAGTACACGAAACAGCAGTCAGAAAGGAAGCAGTGTATTAAGCATCAAGCAAAAATCTAGAAAAGAGCTTCTTATGGAAAAGTTTCGAGAACAAATGATCAAAGCAAAGGCATTTACGATTAAAAAGTGAGCAAATTTTCTCTAGGGGATTGGAGAGGTGGATAGGGGAAATTACAGTGAAATAACTTTTTAAGTAACTAAAAATATGCTACTCTTAGTAAAAATAAGTTATAAAAGTATAAATTTATCAGGGGACTGGGTGATTCAGTAGATTGGTGATAGGATACAGAATCTTTCACTCTTGGTCACCAGTTCACATATAAACAAAACAACAGTGGCAGACAAAGTCCATTTGAAGGCTAATTGTTGTCCTTTGTGAATGAGTTGGTGGACTAAGTGAATTTCCTAGTGGGCAGGTGTTTGCAGAACATTACAAAAATGGCCAACACAACAGGTAATAATTGGCTTCTGTAAAACACCGTGAACCCCAAAAGTGAAGTGTATAATTAAGCAAATTAATAATATCAGTCCCTTCCTTTTGTAAGCTTAGGAACTTGAGTTCAAGGTACTTGTCTTAAATCAGATTGTGGTGTATGTTGTTTCAGGACTCTTCAAATATATGTGCCCATCAGACAGTTTTTCTACAATCTCATTCACCCGGAATACAGTGCTGTGACTGATGTTTATGTGCTGATGTTCCTCGCAGATACTGTGGACTTCATCATCATTGTGTTTGGGTTTTGGGCTTTTGGGGTATGTTATGAGAGGCTTGTTCTGTAAATCCTCTTTCAGACTCTTCGTCACAATTGTGAAATACCATGTAGAATTTGTTATCCCAAAGTTACTGTGATGTTTTCCTTCCCAGAAACATTCTGCGGCAGCAGATATCACCTCTTCATTATCAGAGGACCAGGTACCAGAGGCATTCTTGGTGATGGTGCTCATTCAGTTTGGGACCATGGTGGTAGACCGAGCACTGTACCTCAGAAAGACTGTCATGGGAAAAGTCATCTTCCAGGTCATTCTTGTTTTTGGGATACACTTTTGGATGTTCTTTATCTTGCCTGGAGTAACTGAAAGGTAAATCCATTAAAAATAAAGCATAAGACTTGAATAACATCATTTTTCAAGTTTATTCCTAATTTAATTTGAGTGAATTACAGCTAAAGACTGAATCACAAACAGGTTTCTTCTTGATCTCATTACCAATGGATTGTTTAAGTATCTTTTCAGAATAATTAGTGCTGCAAATATGGAACTGCTTGAATGGGGAAAGACTGAACTATATAAAACCATACTGAATTAGAACTGCCTTTAGGGCGATAATTTTGTAGTTAATGTATCATGAAGATCTGGACACAGAGTAAGTACTGCATTCAAAGTTGAATTTAAGGTAGTCAGAACTGACATAATGCAAACTCTTGGGCCATCCCTGCTTTAATGAATGCTTCCTAACAACCTCCTGTTTCCTGTAATAGCTCTATTTTCCACCCCCCTCAACATTAAATACACCGCCTTTTTATAGCTATCATACAGCTATTGAGTATTAGGTCATAATTTGTCCCAGCAACTAATGAAAAAGTGCAAACTTAAAATTCCAAGAGAGTTGCATTGTACCTTGCAAATAGTGATAGAATAGTTTACTGAGGGGGAAAAATGGTTTATTGCATGTGAAGAATTCAAACTAATTAGAAAAGACAAAAAGACCCTCCTTTGCACTTAAAAACTGTCCTTGAATGTATTTATTATATTTTTCCAAGTGCAATAGTAATTACAGCTATGCTTGAATAAAACTGGTATTCTCCCAATGACCTCCTACCTCAAAAGTTACTGAGCATTGAAAAGGGAGAGAAAAATGAAGTTTGGGATTGTCAGTTTAATTTATTGTTCAAAAGAAAAGGCAACAAAATCCCTCTTGATCTTTACCCTGCCTTTAAGAAATATGTATCTCCTAATCTTAATCTTGAATTTGCATTTGAAACCTGTCAGGGTCAATTTAAATCAAACTGATTTCTATAAACCCATGAAAATTCCTTATCTAGAATAGTTTTCCAAAACAACTCATTGAAAACATTGGCTCATATCTTGCTCCCCAAACACTGTCCTTGGTGAGGAGTTCACAGCATGCTGCTGAGCTGTAATCATGCTAGGGACCACTCCACTTCTGAGATGCCCACATAAACAGCTCCTTCCCAGTTTACGTGGTCTAAATCAGCATCCCTGGTCACTGAGAAACGGAGATGCATCCCAACCATCAGTGACTTTCTCACACATTCCAGGGACCCTGGTCCCCCATCTCTGACCCTTATCATCACTAGAGGTACAGTAATACTTGCAGGCTCTTTTGGGAGAGAGGCAAGACCAGAAATACACAGTGTTGCTTGTGGAAGGGTGAGTAATACATTTGCATGTGTATCCCATCCATCCTGCTGCAGCTTCACGTCAAGCTGCTCAAGGAATGGATGTGGGGCCTCTCCATGAGCACAGTGAGTCTGTTACTGGGAGATTCAGCGCAATGAACAGCAGGTGAAACAGCTGTACAGTGCTACTGTGTTGCTTACAGCCCTGCAAACATGAGTCAGGATTTAGCCCAATTCTATAGATTTTTGTTATTAAATATCTACACTTTCAGTTGTAGTTTTTCTCTCGAGCTGGGTGGCAGCCACAGGGGGACCTGAACCAAGGATTGATTGCAGGTTTTCATAAATGGGGAGCTGAGAGATGTGCAGAGCATATTGGATTAAATCTGTAGAACATAGATATAAAACTATCAATTTTTTATCTCTCCTTTTAATTGCAGGAAATTTAGCCAAAACACAGTTGCCCAGCTCTGGTATTTTGTGAAATGTGTTTATTTTGGGTTATCAGCATATCAGATCCGTTGTGGTTACCCAACCCGTGTTCTTGGCAACTTCCTCACCAAAAGTTACAACTATGTAAACCTCTTCTTATTTCAAGGGTAAGTGTATCCCACTCTCTCTCAGCCACCCTTGTATATATGTAGTATGAAGGTTTAATTGTCACTCAGAAGGCCTCATTATTCATGACTTAGTTCTGCAGGTCATTGTAAATGAGTGCTAATAAAACCTTTATTGCATATCATATCATCATACCACCACAATATATGCTGCACATAATTAAAGACAAAAGCTATTTTAGAAATGTTATCTGCTCTTTAAATCTATGAGCCTTCCTTGTCATGAGCCCAATTATACAGACCTCTAAGGGAGAGAAAAAATGTAATTAATCCATTTTTAGAATTCTAACAATTACCTTACATAGTTTACATAAAAATCACTGTAGTGTCCTGTGTCCCTGGATCTTCCAGGTCCAGAAACAAGTGCTGTGTGTCCTATTGGAAAGTTTGGACTCTCCACTTTTCCAAGTTTAAAATGCTCTTTCTAACTCTGCAAAGTAACAAGATATCTGACTTTAAACCTGTCACTGGAGTCGCACCCAACACCAAGAGTCTTGAGTGGGAAATAACACATGGGAGGGTTAAGGAAATATTTGTTGTAGTAGAAAGGATCTTTTTTTAAAAAAAAAATAGTGTCTCTCAAGTTGCTCAGAGATATGGAATATTAGTAGTTACCCTTGGAGAGATGGCTCAGTGGGCAGAATGCAGGTAAGAAAATAAAAGTACATGATAACTCTAAACGCAGTGCATAAATATTGCCATCACATATATACTATGAAATAGCTATAACGTGAACCACACATGATTTCCCTGTCAAACAAGTGATAATTTTTTTAAATGTCAAAAGTGTGGTGAGATGAATCATAACATTTTAAGACTACATACACACTCTTCAGCCTATTAAAGAGGGACTTTCATGTTGGAGAAATTCAAATTTAAACTTGCCTAAATCATTCACATTTTAGTTGTCTCTCATATTTTGTTTACCATTATTGCTAATTATTACTGACTGTGAGTCTGAAAAGTTTTGGGGTTTTGTGCTTGCCAGCTAAACAGTTCATACCATAATCAAATTTATCACAATCCCTTTGTTCTAATAATCCAGGCTTTATTCCAAGATTTTTAGTATGTACTGGTTACAGTCCAGCTAGAAAAATCACAGAAATAGCTTTCCTCACACTATAACAGTGTTTCTGGTTTGACTGGCACTAGGAAGAAGAAAGTGGAAAGGTGGATAAATATTAAATAAGTCAGTTTAATTAAAATATTTGCAAAAGGTAACCAAACAATTTCTGAACCTCAGAAAGTATTCAAGTTGCGCAAAAACCACTTTGCATACTCACAGCCCAGTTTCTCCTGTTGATCCTACAGTAAAGTCATTAGGCCAGACTTCTCTACACCGTTTTAGCCCTTGCACCAATCTGGTAGTGCAAAAGCACCACAAAGCAAATGACCAGCAGAAAATTCCCTTCCAAGTGAAATGCAATCGGTTCTTATATCCGTCTCTGCCTTCCCCTCCCAGTTTAGGAGCTATGGCAGAAGGGAAGAAGGGGCTTTGGCCCAAGAGAGAATCTATCCCATAAAGTTGCATCTGTGACACTGTCATCACTCCCATGATTATTGATTACAAGTGACATAAGTGCATGTTTGACTTTTCTACAGGGTTATTAAAATATGGTGAACATCAGTAATACCCAAGCAACCCCAGAAAATGACTAAGTGCAATTGTTTTCACTTTCAATTCCTGTTTTCTATTTTCAGTTCTGAACCCCTCCATTAAGCTTTTTGATATTTAACATTTGTGTAATTTTCCCACACATGGTGTAATGATAAGACTCACTAAAAATTATCTGTGTTCCTTAATTAGATACAATGCTATACCTCACTACCGCACAGTAAGATAGTTCATCTACTATACTGTCTCTCCTTTTAGATTCCGTCTGGTTCCATTTTTGACTGAGTTGAGAGCAGTAATGGACTGGGTTTGGACTGATACCACTCTGAGCCTTTCCAGCTGGATCTGCGTTGAGGATATTTATGCTCATATATTTATCTTGAAATGTTGGCGAGAGTCTGAAAAGGTAAGAAAGCTTTTTTTACACCCAAAGTTAATTGTGGCAATAATGAAGAAAAGCTGCCAATTCATGAGTTCCTAAATTTAAAAAAATATATCAGAAGGCCAGAGTTTTATCAGAGAGGCCTAAGGTTCATGTGCAAAAATGTTCATCCAATTATGTGCCTGTGTCTGTGTGCAATTGCTGCAGATGAAAATTTGAATGGCTTTCCAGCATCTAACTTCTCGTTTGTGCCTAACTAATTTTTCTTTCATTCATACAAGTTCTATGTAAAATCATGGTAATTTGTGTCTGCCAACATAGATACTCAGTTGTAGACCTAGATTTCAGGGGTGGATTTAAGAATAAGACAAGGTAAGCAAATGAACTCAGGTTGTCCAGAGTTGGTGGAGGAATAGCCAAACAACTGGGGCCCTCACTACACTACAAATTATGTTGGAATACAGCCACCGCAGTTAGTGTATCATTCAAACACATGCATACTTGGCTGCTTGCATTAGCACTGTGCATACTCACCGGGGATATTTGTGTCAGTTCAAACAGTGGTGCACCACAGGTAAGTATCTCAGTGTGCCACTATCTGGTGCAATGCCTTCTGGGAAGTTTTCACAATGTATTGTGGGATAGAAATAATTTGCCCAGGGATCTCTAGGAGCTAGAGGTCAAGTTCCCAGCATGCAACTTTCTTTGTCCCTTAGTGCCATTCATATCCCATAATTTTTGCTTCCTCTTTTAAAATCCTACAAACCTGCATGGCACTGTTTGGTGTCTGCCATCTCTGACAGAAGCATGGAGCCCAAATAGCTCTGTGCTATTCTCATGAATGTTGCAAATACAGGATACATGATTGTCAATTATTATCAGAGTCACAGGAAGAACTTCAACAGTTGGGGACATAAATATTTCTTGAGGACAGTTTGCTAAGGGAGATAGCAAAAAAAATTCAAGGTTGCTGGTGGTATTCATGCAGTTGCAGGTGGTGGAGCGCTGCTTCTGAGCTCGAGAAACAAGCGCTGACCTATAGGATTGCATCATCATGCAGGCTTGGGTTGACAATCCGTGGCCGCAGAACTTTTGGATAAGAAAGGCCAAATTCCTGAGTCTGTGTGCTGGGCTCATCCTGGCCCTCCAACGCAGAGACACCAGAATAAGAGCTGCACTGAGAGTTGCAAGATTCCAGAGTGTGATGGCCACTTGCTCTTCAACACCAGATTGGTATGGGTCAGTGGGAAATCCACAGTGGAGGTTTTTGTCGTGCAAGTGTGTACAGCCTAGTCATCTCCCCCACGCAGGAGTGTGACTCCTGGCAATGTGCAGAACATAGTGGATGGATCTGCAGCACTGAGGTTCCCAAACTGCAGTTGGGCGATAGACAGCACACATATCCCTGTTTTTGCACCAGCCCACATTGCCACACAGTACATCAACAGAAAGGGCTACTTTTCTGGTTTTCTGTGGTTATGCAAGCGTTGCTGGATCACCAGTGATGCTTCACCGATATCAATATGGGCTGGTCAAGGAAGGTGCATGATGCTCACATCTTTAAGAACACAGGGCTGTTCAGAAAGCTGCAAGCAGGGACATTCTTTTTTGATCGGCAGAGTACCCTGGGTGATATTGAAATGCCAATTGTTGATCCTGGGGGACCCAGTCTATGCTTTGCTTTCCTGGCTCATGAAGATGTACACTAGCCATCTTGACAGCACCAAGGAAAGATTCAACTACCAGCTCGGCAAGTCCAGTACGACTGTCGAATATGCTTTTAATAGACTGAAGGGATGCTGGTGGTGTTTACTCACAAGACTGGATATCAGCAAGAAAAATACCCCAATGGTTATAACTGCCTTCTGTGTCCTGCATAATATCTGTGAGGCAAAGAAGGAAAATTTGCCATGGGGTAGAGGGCTGAGGTAAAGTGGCTGACACAGGGCTACTAGGAGAGCCCAACATGGAACTATGTGGTTGCAAGAGACTTTGATAGAGCACTTTAACAGTCAGCCACATTAATGTTCCATGCCAGTGGTCTTCAATCTTCTTTCATTTGCTGACCCTTAAAAAGTTTCAAATGGAGGTGCAGACTCCTTTGGAAATCTTAGACATAGTCTGCGGACCCCCAGGAGTCCGCATCCGCAGACCACATGTTGAAAACCACTTCATTCTGGCCCTGAACATTTGTGAGCTGTTAGGAATTGTGTGTAGTGCTTGGTGTACATTAGTATATGTAACACTTTGTCTCTTAATGACTGTATGAATTATTCTGACTTTGCTATGCATTTATAATTGTTACTGTTTTTCACTGAAGCTATGAATTGGGTGGTGCTTGCTGCACATTTACACATACAACTGGGTGTTTTGTTGAATCTCTGAGTCCTATGGTACTGGGTGCTTGGAGTACTGCTATACTCACTGCACTATGTATAGTGAACTAATAAAGGTTTATTTTCAAGAAACAGAATTTTACTGACCAACAAAAGCGGTGGGGAAAAACTTGCAAATAAAAAAGGACAATACAATACAAACTTCCAACATAAAATAACAGAACAGAAATTTAAATTTAGGAAGGCAGCAAACATTTCTGTCCACTTCAGTCCACAAATGAAGTCCATTCTGGCTATCCATACACCAACTGTGCCTCTCAAAGGTAAGCATATGTGAAGCTGTGGTTGTCCTTACTGTCCGTAACCATGGAGTGGTAGGCGTAGGGATGCGGCCTCTGGTGCATTGCAGAATGTTGTGGGTTTGTTAAGGTTCCTTCCCCACTCTGAACTCTAGGGTACCGATGTGGGGACCTTCATGAAAACCCCTTACGCTTATTTTTACCAGCTTAGGTTAAAACTTCTCCAAGGTACAAACTATTTTACCTTTTGCCCTTGGACTTTATTGCTGCCACCACCAAGTGTCTAACAAATATATAACAGGGAAAGAGCCCACTTGGAAACGTCTTTCCCCCCAAAATCCTCCCCAAACCCTACACCCCCTTTCCTGGGGAAGGCTTGATAAAAATCCTCACCAATTTGCATAACTGAGCACAGACCCAAACCCTTGGATCTTAAGAACAATGAAAAAGCAATCAGGTTCTTAAAAGAAGAATTTTAATTGAAGAAAAAGTAAAAGAATCACCTCTGTAAAATCAGGATGGTAAATACCTTACAGGGTAATCAGATTCAAAACATAGAGAATCCCTCTAGGCAAAACCTTAAGTTACAAAAAGACACAAAAATAGGAATATACATTCCATTCAGCACAACTTATTTTATCAGCCATTTAAACAAAACAGAATCTAATGCATATTAACTAGATTGCTTATTAGCCCTTTACAGGAGTTCTAACTTGCATTCCTGCTCTGGTCCGGGCAAAAACAACAGAGAGAACAGAGAGAACCTTTGTTTCTCTCCGGCTCCAGCTTTGAAAGTATCTTGTCTCCTCAATGGTCATTTTGGTCAGGTGCCAGCGAGGTTATCCTAGCTTCTTAACCCTTTACAGGTGAAAGGGTTTTTCCTCTGGCCAGGAGGGATTTTAAAGGTCTTTACCCTTCCCTTTATATTTATGATAGGGATGTAGGGAGTTGCAACCATGGAGTTGTCTAGGGACTGCAAAGGGTGGCGAGTCTGTGATTATTGGACATGTAGGTCAACTAGGGTCTGCAGCATCTGTGTTTTCAGCCTGAGAAGCCCCACAATGTCCAGGTGCATCTCCTTCTTCTGCTGCTGCTGAGATTCATGGGTTTTTCTCCATTTTCTGCTGTCCTCTCTGTGCCATTCCAGGTGGTCTGCCATCTTGATCCACCAGGCCCTTTGTTTGCAGTCCAATGCAGCACTGGCTTGCAGGGTCTCGTTGAACATATCCTCCCTCCTCCTATTCTTTCTCCTCCTCACGGTCAGGTGTTCTGTGGGTGGCACCCCTTCAGGCCACAACAGCAGCAGCTGCAGATAAAATAGATGCATGTATAATTGGAATTACAGCCACAATGGAAAGTGAAAGTTAAGTTTCAAAACTCCCTTCCCTTAGTCCCTTAAAACTTTTTAACCAGGCATTTTTATTGGCAATTCATTTTTGGAGTGCTTCTGCACAGAGCCACTCTCCATCCTCAGCCATGGTGAGCATGGCCCACCAAGGGCAAGTGTGGGGGGAAAGGAGGAAGGCATTAAGATTTTTGCTTGCATGAAACAATAACATTTCAGTGCCTGTTTCCATGGGTATGACTATAAGGCAATGGCACTGGATATTGGCATTATTTTCCAAGGCGGTGGTGATTTTTTTCTGATAACTTACTCCTGAGGGTAACAAAGGCACAGAGTACAGCTGCTGCTGGCATCCTGAAGTTGCCTAGGTCCATATGCCGCTGGTCTGTTTTCAGCTGGTACCATTGCAGTACTCATCCCAGAGTGTCATGGTAGAAATAGGGCTGCCATTCCTAGAAACCTTCAAGAGAAGATTGCAGAGTATCTCCATGAAAGTTTATTCAAGATCTCTCAAGATGATACAAGGGACAGCCCTATGTACATAAACAAACCCCCACCCCACCTCAAAGCAGGTCTCCTCCTCCTCCTCCACTCCTTCCTCCTCCTGGATGCTCACAGCAGGGGTCTCTAGCTTCTTGGGGGTATCCCTAGTGGTTTGCAGGGTGCTGGTGGAGTCTCCACCAAGTACGGCGTGCAGCTTGGTAGGAAAGCAGCAGGTCTGCAGCTCAGTCCCAGATCAGTTGTTGGCCTCTGCTACGCCTGCTTCAGTTCCTTTGCTTCCATGCAGCACAGAGGCTGATTCCTGTCTTTGTCCGCATCCCCTGTGCAGTCTTTTCACAGATGTCCACATTTCTATGACTGGTCCCTGGCGGTGCCAACACAGCCTCTTCTCCTCACAGGCCCAGGAGACCCAATATCTTTTCTTTGCTCTAGGCAGGAGCACATCTAGTGTGTGGAGCTGGCATGGTCGGTTGGGCAGTTGCACACCACAAGGGAGAGATGCTGTGTGTGCTTGTCAAGCTGGACAATCAGGACAGGCATTTGAAAAATATGCAAGATGTTTTAAAGGGGTTCTGGTCTCTGACCCCTGAGCAGTGGAGTACATAATTGTGACCAGAGCAGTCACTGTGGGGCATTTTGGCACAGTTGCTGGAGGACTGTTAGGGTATAACAATGTCCTGTAGTGTGAGACAAATGGTCCTGTAGTGTGAGACAAATAGGTCACAGTGTCTACACTCCCACTGTGTTGACTTCTGTAGGTCAACCATGGGTCAATGCTATTTCGGCAGGTGGTTTTATTGCGTCACCTTAACAGCATGCTTACGTGGGCGGGAGACAAATTTGAGTGTAGACAAGTGCACAAATACATCCACGCAAGGTGCCTTACGTTGACCTAACTTTCTAGTGTGGACAAGGCCTTGTTGAGTAGCCAGGAGTAGAACAGCCTTGGCAGCTTGTAACAGAGGTCAGTGCAGATGAGAATACATAGACCCCACCTCCGCCTAGACCACAATGGAGGTCCAAAGAATTCCTCTCCTGCTTCCTTGCCATCCCTAGTTTGTCCTTCGTTCTCCTTTCTGCACTATTCCCCTATTTTTACTTTTTTATTTGTTTCCACCTCTTTGATGTAGCCTTTCTTTGTCTTTCTTTTGTCAATTTTTAAAACATTAGACTCAGACAGTTTAAATGAGTTAAGATTCAGTTCGAATAAAAATCGGGGATCCTGGATTCAGTGTTATCTTTGTAAAAAACAGCATCCGGATGCTTGGTTGTTTTGCCAATTTTAAAAAGAAATTAAGTGTTGTTTTAGGAATAGGAAATAACCCAACCATTCAGAAAATAATAAAATGGCCTTATATTTGAGTGTTTACTGACATATTTCTAGTTTTATTATAATCCTACCTCTTAACTGTACTTTATTTCAAGGTGTGTCACTTAGTTACAAGTAAATTAACCGGATATCCACACATACCTGGCATTTAGTTGTTTACATTCCTGTCATGAATTGAATTGCATCACATCACACATTTCAGAAATTAATAGGGAAAGATACAGGGAGTAATCCAGTTTCAATTGTGCTCTACGTGTTGTTTTTTCTATAATAGGAACATTCTATACTGTGCTATGGAATAATTCTAGAATATATAAGTTTCCAAGTCTAAGTCATGATGTGTGTGCCAATGACACACATTGCCACACTTGCTGATGGATTTTGCATATCTCAAAAATCTGTATGTTAAAAACAAAATAACTGATGATAACTGAGAGTAGTTCAAGGTACGTCTCTGAGTGGTATTCCTGAGTAACTTGGCTATTACTAACTCTCTGAGCTGCTTTGTAATAGCATTAAAGGTGCCTGAAATAACCTTCTACAGATAAATGATATGTCCCTTGAGAGCTCAATATGATATTAATGAAAACAGTGTCTTGTAGTGTGAGACAAATGGTTTGACACAATACTTTTAAAATGTAACTGATTTGTTTTAAATATAGAGTTGTATTACAAATGTAATATTCTCTTAGGGCTTTATGGATTCATGTTGTAAAGCAAGAACAATTTCCTGAAAGCCAGATTTCTGGCAAGTGTATGCGTGCAATGCAACTTTATTTTGTATATGCCATCTTTCATACACATTTTATTTCAAAATGCTGTACAGAGTTAATGTTTGCTGTGTTGGTCCCAGGACAATCTGTAACCTACTAGCCCCTCTTTTTTGTCCTGTGACTGCAGAGGTGTTAACTGGCAACTTCACCTTGAATGGTTAGACTACGTGTTAACTAGTTATGCTAAAAAATTTGTTCCACCTTCTATTTAGCTGGGACACTCTGCCTTTCCCAGACATGAAGAAGAGCTCTGTGCGAAAGCTTGTCCCTTTCACCAACAGAAGTTGGTCCAATAAAAGCTATTACCTCACCCACCTAGTCTCTGTACAGAGTTAAATCCTATAAGAGAGCAGGCAGAATAAATCACAGTGATGCAAAGACATTGTACGTGCTGGTGAATCCATTAAAGCATTCAGTCATGAGGTCAGTAACAGAGGGGGAGAGGAATCATAGCGGGGGGGGCAGGGGAGGGAAGATTTGTTTTCTGGTGTGATGGGAAAAGAGAAGAAGAGATGCAAGAAGATTGTTCTAGACCCCAGGAGCTGCAGAAGAGAAGGCTCTCACTCCAATAATGGACATATTGTGGAAAGGGAGAGCAAAGATCCTGTTGCTAGGCAAGATTAAGGAGCAGGATTGGGGATCAGAGACAAGGGACGTGGGCTGAGAAGCACTCTGGGGCAAGCCCACGGAGAGTTTAAGAACAAGGAGGACAGTTTTGAATATATCTGAAGTGTATGGGGAGTTAGTGCAGTGTAAGACTGACATTTATATGTCTATTGCTGAAAAATAAACACAACCTTTCTCTGCAAGAAAAGTTACAATGTTTTCAGGATCTAAAAGTTTCAGTTCTGTCTAAAAGGGATCTGAGATAAAACAGTGTTTGAAGCACAGCTTGGTGAAAGTTGATGGCTTCAATTGGCAAAGAATTGAGCAAACCTTCGGGTTTTTTTTAGTTTTGGTTCATACGGCTTCATGCCTTCTGTTTGAGAAGAAAGTTCAAATGAACCTCCCCATTGTTATCTCATTTGGGATTGGGAACATGCTGAACCCCACAGAGTTTTGCAAGGTTTTCACCCCAAGCCCTAAAATGACCCAGGTTCACTTGAAACTTACCTCCATGTTTGCCTGAAACTCAACTAAGTTTCAGTCAAATCCCAGCCCAATTTTGACTCAAAATGTTCATGAAACTTGTCCTGAACTAGGTTTTGTCGTGAGCCATGAAAGAGGTTATTATTTATTCATACATGGGTTCATATTAAAATTGTCCCACTGCTGAACATATGGTTTGCTTTACCATGTGACTGTTTTTTGTTGCAGAGATACCCACAGCCAAGAGGCCAGAAGAAAAAGAAAGTTGTGAAGTATGGAATGGGTGGCATGATTGTTGTCTTGCTGATTTGTATTGTCTGGTTCCCTCTGCTCTTCATGTCTTTAGTCAAATCTGTTGCAGGCGTCACCAACAGGCCTCTTGATGTATCAATCACGATAACCCTTGGAGGTTATCAGGTAAATGACAGAAGAAAAGTCAATTATTGCCCTATATGTCTTTGTTCTGTTCTTTACATTGAGCTGTCAAGGTTCCTTCCCCACTCTGAACTCTAGGGTACAGGTGTGGGGACCTGCATGAAAAACCCCCTAAGCTTATTTTTACCAGCTTAGGTTAAAACTTCTCCAAGGTACAAACTATTTTACCTTTTGTCCCTGGACTTTATTGCTGCCACCACCAAGCGTCTAACAAAATATAACAGGGAAAGAGCCCACTTGGAAACGTCTTTCCCCCAAAATCTCCCCAAGCCCTACACCCCCTTTCCTGGGGAAGGCTTAACAAAAATCCTCACCAATTTGCATAGGTGAACACAGACCCAAACCCTTGGATCTTAAGAACAATGAAAAAGCAATCAGGTTCTTAAAATAATTCTTTTAATTAAAGAAAAAATTAGAAAATCACCTCTGTAAAATCAGGATCGTAAATACCTTACAGGGTAATCAGATTCAAAACATAGAGAATCCCTCTAGGCTAAACCTTAAGTTACAAAAAGACACAAAAACAGGAATATACATTAAATTCAGCACAACTTATTTTATCAGCCAGAACAGAATTTAACGCATATCTAACTAGATTGCTTACTGACTTTTTACAGGAGTTCTGACCTGCATTCCTGCTCTGGTCCCAGCAAAAGCATCACACAGACAGAGAGGACCCTTTGTTTCCCCCCCCTCCAGCTTTGAAAGTATCTTGTCTCCTCATTGGTCATTTTGGTCAGGTGCCAGCGAGGTTATCTTAGCTTCTTAACCCTTTACAGGTGAAAGGGTTCCAACTGAGTTATGCAGGAGGTCAGACTAGGTGAGCTCTCCTGTCGACATAGAGTGGCTGCATGAGCCATCTGTAAGCTGGCTAGTGTAGACATGGTCTAACATTTAGGGCATGGCTACACTTGCAGATGTAGAGCGCTTTGAGTTAAACCAGCTGTCGTAGAGCGCAGTAGGGAAAGCGCTGCAGTCTGTCCACACTGACAGGCTACAAGCGCACTGGAGTGGCCCTATTAGCAGCTCTTGCAACGGCCACAGAGAGCAGTGCATTGTGGCAGCTATCCCAGCATGCACGTGGCTGCCACGTGCTTTTCAAATGTTGGGGGGTGGGGTGGAATGTGACAGGGAGTGTGTTGTGTGGGTTGTGGGGGGGGAGAGAGTGGGGGGGGCTGAGAGCCTGTCAGCATGCTGTCTTGTAAGTTCAGACAGCAGCAGCAGCAGACTCCCCCTCCGCCCCACCTCTCTCTCTCACACACAGCATTCCACGGTAATGGTTGCTTTGTCTCGGAGCAGATAAGCAGCCGGCTGTCAGAAACGGAGCTTCCAAAGGGCTTATCTGCATTCCTACAGCAAGTTCAAGGCTGATCAGAGCGCAGTAATGCAACACCTCGTTAACACTGATGCCCGGGCGTTTCAGCCAAGGCGCAACAAGCATTAATCTACTCGCAGAGGTGGGGTACCAGGAGCGCTCTAGCCGTGGAGTCAGAGCACTCTACGTGCCTTGCCAGTGTGGATGGGTAGTGAGCTAGGGCACCCGGGGCTGCTTTAATGCGCTCTAACTCGCAAGTGTAGCCAAGCCCTAAGTCTCTGTCAAGTGTTGGTGCAATCTGGAAAATGAAAAGAATGTAAACAAACCTGAGTCAGATATATGGGTGATCATTCCATATTTATCTCATCTCTTTCACTGGGGCCCACTTTTGTACTAGCTGGCCAATTTCGGGGTCCAATCAGATTTTGAAAGAGCCCAGCAAGCAATGTAGTTTGTAGGGATGCCTTCATTTATCTCACTGAAAGTCACTGGGACTTAGAAACCTGAGTGCCTTGGTCACTTTTGAAAATGAGATTTGGAGACAGATGTTTAAAGGAATTAAGGCACCTAATTCCCATTGAAATCAGTGGGAGTTAGGTGCCTAAATACCTTTTCAAACCTGTCCTCCTTCTTCCCCCGACTACTAAATCAGTGAGGTATTGCAATGCTAAGCAAATCAATACCTAAATTTCTTTAAAAATCTGGGTCTGAATCACCTTTGAAAATGGGACGTAGACTCCTAAGTACCTTAAGCACTAAAATTTTACATGCATTTCCCAGGAAAGGGGTTATGGGGGAGAGGAATGATCAGAGAGGCCATTTTCGCTTTGCCTTTCTTAGGAGCGAGTCTCATGGCCCTTTGTGAAATTTTAAAATAATGTTATTTCCAGATTAAAATATGCTGTGGAGCATTTACAAAAATGAACACAAAAGATTTCTAAAGTGAATATTAACATGGGACATTCACAAACAGCCACAGGAATTCACTTCTCTGAAGGAGTAAATCTAAAATGACAGCTGTCAGAAGTGTGATAGCATATACAGAATAGTCTCCATTTGTTCTCTCATTCATGTTTGCTCCAACCAATGCAAATAGATGTTTGCCTGAAAGAAATTTCAAATGATGGAATTTCCACACATTTCTGGATGGGATTGCTTAACATTAGGACCATTTTGGAACAAAACTTGGTGAAATGTTTTGATTTAGGGGTAGTTTGTTTTCCCCAAAATTGGACCATTTAAGAAAATTTGACAAGAAATTCAGAGCTTCAGTTCTGGAAGTTTTTAGATCTCATGTGTGACCTTTTTTGCCGTCCCTCAGAATCTCTCCCTATGGCACCAAGGACTGACATAGTCTTAGACTGAAATTCACAGAATGTTTTATTTTTAATGTAGAAACAAAATGAAATATATTTGACAAGGATGTGTTCTTTTATTTTCCAGCCTATTTTTACAATGAGTGCTCAGCAGAACCAGCTCAAGGATTTGAATCAAACTGAGTTCAATTCATTTCAAAGAGAATATTCGGGTAATACTGTAAGTAAAATGTGGAGTGTTTCATCATTTTAAGAATTTGTGTGTATACATCCAGTGTATTCTGATCGGCCAAATCATTCTGTTTAATTTCCTTTGGGTGACAATAAGGGATCAATAGTGCTGGCCTTATTAAGATGATTAGTTCCATTGAATTTGTCTGAAATAAGGACTACTTACATGAATAAGAGCTTCCAAGCGTGAGATCTTTAAGGATATGTTTACATTGCAATAAAATACCCGCAGCTGTCCCTGGTCAGGTGACTTTGGCTCCTGAGGCTATACGATTGCAGTGTATACATTTGGGCTGTGGCTCCAGCCCAGGCTCTAGGACCCTCCCTAAGACGAACCCTGAGTATTTGTCAGTAATCATTTCACTTAATAGTGTCTGCAAAGCTACTTTAGGTTTCCTTGGTAAGGGAAAAGCATTCAAAAGCAGACCTTAAATGCACGTGGTAGCCAGTTTTTCAGTAGACTCTATTTAAAAGATGTCAAACACACTTTGCATCATATCATTATCTAAAAGTATAAAAACCATCAACATGCCTTACCCTAAAACAAGCACGATGCATCTTATGCCATGTTATTTGCCAGCAGTTGGAACAAATATTTGTCCCATACTCACCTTCTCCTTTGGTAACAAGAGTCTGCAGGCCCCATTCCTCTATGCAGAATTCCCCATATTCACTTTGCTAAAAGTGTTACTTATATAAGCAGACGGGGTTTGGGGATAGAAATGTAAAATTCATTAATTTGGACTCTCCCTGACTCACCTCACCCAGAGTAGAAGGGGAAACAAGGCCAAAGCCAAAAGAAGATACCCCCAGCCATGTTGTGTGGTATCTTGGGCCTCCTGAATTCTACCTTGCACTTTGAGAAAGCCTCAAGTTACCACGTGGTCCAATGCGATGTCTGGTAATCTACGTCACATAGAATTTGTCAGACGAATTACATATAATGGTAGCCATTTGTGCTGTGTGGCGCCCCTGTGAACTTGCTTAAAGTAAGTTTGAGGTGCCACACAAAACAAGTGGGGACTAGAACATATATTATCTCAAATTAAAATTTGTTCTGGATAACTCATTAGCTGCACTTAAATGTGTATTGAGGACCTCAGAAATGGAAGCATAGAATCCATATGCTTAATTTTATTCAGGCCCATTTTTGCAAATGTTTTTTTACCAGATTAGGTGTTTTTTTTGTTTTTTAAATCAGTTTCACTAGCAATGCAATTTTTTTTCACATCATTGACTTCTAGTCTGGGCTGTATTCTGGGTAAACCTCTCCCCTCTTATGCCTTACCTGGTGCCTGAGGAAAACCATCAGTGCAAATCACTAGGCTCATAATTAGTAGTACACCTATAGTTCTGGCTGACCTGTAAGAATAGTTGTGTGTTTCATGTATGTTAAACTTTCCTTTCTCTTTTTGCATGTACAGGGTGCTTTGCAGTTTCTTGAAGGCTATGGAAAAGAAGATATAACTGTAGCAGAACTAGAAGGGAATTCAAATTCATTGTGGACTATCAGCCCTCCCAGTAGAAAGAAAATGATTCAAGGTCTCCGAGATTTTTCTGCTGAGTTCACTCTAGTTCTTTCATGGAGTATTCAAAGGTAAATAGTATGATGATATTGACAGATTGATTGTTGGGCTAGGGCTGCTGGTTTAATGGAAGTGTTTTGCATTGCCCCTGTATGTGTGATGTGTTTATTTTCCCATCCAATTCTCTCATTCATCAGGTCAGGAAGACTGAGAGTGGGTGGCTGGGGAGGAGATGGGGAAGGGAATGATCTTTGTCGCTCAACAATGAGCCCTCCTGGCAACAAAAAATAACATTCATGAATTTTAAAGGGAAGCTTGCCTTAGAACTCCTGAGCAAGAATGCCCTTTGCCAGGCATTAGCACCTCCAAGGTGGAAACTATGAAAGCAGGAGTAAAATGATCTGAGATTCAGCATGGAAGAACATAGGGGAAAAGATTTCAGAGTAGCAGCCATTTTAGTCTGTATTCGCAAAAAGAAAAGGAGGACTTGTGGCACCTTGTTAGTCTCTAAGGTGCCACAAGTCCTCCTTTTCTTTATAGGGGAAAAGCAAGTTCTAGAGTAGGACTATGATGCTTGAGCTTTTCTACCAGTGAAAGATTGTTACCAAGACTACTTCAGACCTTTTTCGAACATGCAGTACGCTAAAGAGCACATCTGCCATAAAAATTCAGCTAAGGGTAGCATAAAAAGTAAAAAAAAACCCCTAACAACTTCATTTGTGACTCTGCTGATACTGTAGCTTTGGTGACCAAAAGACACTTTTAAAACAAGGTGCACGCAGCGTAGGCCAAATTGTCAACAGTGACTCGAGGTCGTGGCTTCCTCAGGGTTTGAGCGCCCAACCTGAAGCACTTTGGAGATGCCTGATTTTCAGACCATGCAGAGCTTCTGCCCTCTGAAAATCCAGTAATTTTCAGGGGCCTCAGGTTGGGCACCCAGAAACTGAAATCCTAACCTCAATCTTCAAAAACAACCATTTATTTGGGGGGCCCCAAAGTGGGTTAAGAGAAAAACATGAAAATCCCAACCTTAGGGTTTAAAAACCAATGACCAGACTAATAGGAAATCTGCTTCAGACAACATGCTCATCAATAGTTATGTAAATTAAACACTTTGAAGGATCAGGCCTTTGGAAAAAACATTTGGTATAAGCAGATAATTTAATGGGGAAATGAAATTAAGGTACAAAAGAGAAACAATCAGTCCTCTTGCTGCGGCTTTACAGCCTCAAGCGCTATTCGCCATACCCTTTATGCTGTAAGGAATTAAATAGCAAGACACAAGATGAAAAGCAGTTAACTACCTGAACGTCTAGAGGGAGGTGGGGGGTACGGCCTGAGGGCTAGATCCAGCCCATTGCTTCATTTCATCCAGCCCGCAGCTAGTCTCCAGGCCGTGGGCCGAAAGCCCCAAGCCTCGGCGCCCCCTCGTAGTGCTGGAGTCACTAGCGCTGGCTTGCCCCACTTTGGGGGGAAGCTAGTGTCGCCAGGCCTTTAAAAGTCTGGTCAGCTCTGTGCAGCTCCTGGAAGCGACTGGCATGTCCCTGTGGCCACTAGGAGCAGGGGCAATCAGGGAAGTTCTGGACACTGCCCCCACCCCCTGCACAGAACCCCCAGCCCCTCCACCTAGGGGCTGGACATGGCAGCCACTTCTGGGAGCAGCACTGAGCCCCGGCTCTGCCTTAGCCCCACTGTGCCACCGACCGGGAGCCGCCTGAGGTAAGCACCGCCTAGCCGGATCCCGCACCAAGAACCCCCTGCCCCAGGTCGGAACCCCCTCCCAAACTCCAAACCCCTTGGCCCCAGCCCAGAGCGCCCTCCTACACTCCAAACTCCTCATCCCCACCCCCAGCCGGACCCCTCACCTCCTCCCACACCGCAACCCCCAGCCCGGAGCCCCCTCCCACTCCCTGAACCCCTCATTTCTGGCCCCACCCCAGAGCCTAGGGGAAACCCTGATCCTCCGCACCCCCAGGCGGGGCCCACGACTGTGTGTGTGTGTGTGTGTGTGTGTGTGTGTGTTTGTGGCCCACGACTGTTTTTTTCTGTGGGTCAGTGGCCCAGATAGAAAAAAGATTCCCCGCCCCTGATCTAGAGCCACCCTGAACTAAGTAGAGGCAATGCCCATTCCCTTCATTGGGGCATGTGCCCATTTACTCTAGGGCTCATTTGCCCCCTGGTGTACAGTCTTCCCTTCAAGCTTTGCTACACTCCTGTAAGAGCCATGCTGTGGTGTGCACAGCTTGCACATTAATAAGAACATAAGAGCAGCCATACTGGGTCAGACCTATGGTCCATCTAGCCCAGTATCCTGTCTTCCTACAGTGGCCAATGCCAGGTGCCCCAGAGGGAATGAACAGAACAGGCAATCATCCAGTGATCCATCCCCTGTTGTCCATTTCCAGCTTCTGGGAATTGTAATATCTAACCCTGATAAAAGAATCATGTAGATGGACACCTGGGCTCCTATCATAACAGCTGTCCCTTCACAGCTACATTACTAGGAGTTGTGTACATAAATCGAAAACAAATATTGGACCCATAATAAAAAAGATACTTTATTTAAGGTTAAAAAATAATTAATTAGACCTTTTTTATTACTGTGAAAAGATAGTCTGTTATCCAGTGGAAATATAGCTTCCTCCTTTATTCAGAGCTACAGTCCTTTTTTAATACTCCTCAACTAATCTATCAGTTATGTTAGTTTAATTAAAAACAGTAATGAATTGGATCCTTTATCTTTGGGAAGCAGTGGACTATATAGTAAGTATGATTGAATATTACATGGTTAACATTTACAGCAGTTGAGGCCAAGCTTGTTCAGCCTGAAGGCCAATCATCCGATTTTAAAAATGTCAGGGGGCCGCGCTTAGTTCTCTGTGAGAGATTCTCTGGTGTATTCTGCTCCTCTGGCAACATAGGGGAGCAGAAGACACATGCAAGTCCACTGTTGGGGATTCTCCCAGCGTCGAGGCGCCTCCAGCAGGCAGAGAACTGACACAGCCAGCTCCTACTCCCTCCCTGCAGCCCCTGTCACAAAGGGCATGTGGGATGTGGAGGGAAAGGAGCGGCTGTGGCACTTTTTCACTGCATTCCAGCTTCCTACAGCTGCCATGTGGTCTAACGAGGACTGTTACCAGCTGATGGAGCTTAGAACAGTCACTGGGCTGCTCTAATTTGGGCTGGGACAGAGAATCAGGGAATTGTGTTGTAATTGGCTGTTGATTTTCAGCTTCTCCTTTCCCCCCTCCTCCTAAGCTCTCCTAAGTGACTGGGAGGACCTGGGAGGACGGGGGTGGTGGTGGGAGAGATGGAGAGGGTGGCCTGCCTTTGCTAGATGCTGCCCTAGGCTCATGTAGAGCCAGTTAAGCTTCTCTGCTACTCTCCGTGGAGCTCCCACAGCCTAGCAAGGAAGCAGGCAATGGAGGAGCCAGAACTACCCTCCTCTCTGTGCTGTGATGCAATCAGCAGGGCAGCTGCTGAGCAGCTGGACAGAACCTTATTGGCTCACCCCATCAGTGCCCTAGGGTTGCAAAGGAAGTAGTGGGAGGGAGCTGGGAAAGCAGTGCCCCCATCCATCTCCCCAGGGTGCACAGGGCTGATTCAGGCACTTCCATTTAAAAATCATCAGGGGAAACATGTTTTCTGTTCATAATCAAATACACATTTTCATCTTCTCTCAAGGGCCCCAGGAACCCTCAGCCTAGACACCCTGATTTATAAGTGGTGTTTGAATGAGGGGATGAATACCATGTTCTTATTTCATTTGTACATGAGCCCACTGATGATAATGAAAGTCTTTAGAATCACTCGGAGAGCATTGGTAGTTGGAGTTGTGGTTAGTCAGGAAACGAGGTGTCATGTGCCGTCTGCCAAGGCCAACATCTGGCCTCTGTGTTCAAAAGCAAGACGTCAGGCAGGTTTCTGTGTAAGGCTTCTATTTTGACTTTGACACAGTTACATTGTACTATCAAAAATTGCCTCTGAACCATATAAAGCCATGATCAATAATGGCAGGGGGATTTAGGCCACTAAACATCGGCTGCGGGTTCCGTGTGCTGTCTTGGTAGCCTGATGCTTGACAGGATATGGGGAAGGGCCATCAGCACCATGCGGATAGACTAGCAACCCCACATCAGCTAAGCACAGCTCAGAGAACTGGGCATTGTGTGGTACTGAGCTTCACTATCTGTTTTCATTTTCATTTATTGTTATAGAAACCTCTCTCTTGGTGCAAAAGCAGAAATAGCATCGGATAAGCTTTCCTGTAACCTACTGAACAAAACTAGAGAAAATATCGCTACAATGATGTCTGGGGATCACACGGTAAAGAAGGTGTAAGTTATGTTCTTGACTTGTTCATACAGATGTTTCTCTTGAAGCAGATAACTAACAGGTGCACAGTTGTTACCTATAATGTAATCTCATAGCATAGCATATACCATAAAACTGAAACATACTTCACTGATTTCAGAGTAACAGCCGTATTAGTCTGTATTCGCAAAAAGAAAAGGAGTACTTGTGGCACCTTAGAGACCAACCAATTGATTTGAGCATGAGCTTTCGTGAGCTACAGCTCACTTTGAGCTGTAGCTCACGAAAGCTCATGCTCAAATCAATTGGTTGGTCTCTAAGGTGCCACAAGTACTCCTTTTCTTTTTGCGGATACTTCACTGAATGTACAGCAAAATGGACAGTCACCACCCAAGTGAATACATTACTCAAAGCTCTGAGTGAGGGCCACACCTTGCACCACCAGTGGGGCAGCTGTGAGAGGAATTGTGTTCTCTAGCGCACCGGGAGACGGGGAGCATGTATGGATGGTGCAGCATACTGTGTCCTCTTCGCCAACTCCACTTTCCTGGCAACAAGGATTGGCAGAGCCCCTGGCTTTTGCACAGACTATAAAGGGGTGAAAATTCCTAGCACCTACACAAAGGCCAAGGACATTCTAGCCCTATACTAATAAATGTTACTTCAAAGGTAATATGCAGCGGTGTTGTAGCTGTGTCAGTCCCAAGATATTAGAGAAACAAGGTGGGTGAGGTGATATCTTTTATTGGGCCAGCTTCTGTTGGTGAGCGAGACGAGCTTTCCAGCCACACAGAGCCCTTCTTCTGGTCTGGGAAACTTAGGGTATGTCTTGACTAGCATGCCGCAGCGATGCTTTAACGTGGCTGTGTCATTGCGGCACCAGCACTGGGGGAGAGCTCTCCCAGTGCTGTAAAAAAACCACCCCCACGAGGGGAGTAGCTCCCAGCGCTGGGAGAATGGCTCCCAGTGCTGGGGCACTGTCTACGCTGGCACGTCACAGCGCTGAAACTTGCAGTGCTAGGGGAGGACGTGTTTTTTCACACCCCTGAGCGAGAAAGTTGCAGCACTGTAAAGCGGCAGTGTAGACAAGGCCTTAATCAGAGTGTCACAGCTAAACACAAGGTGGAACAGATTGTTTAGCATAAGTAGCTAACACACCTTTCAAAGGACCATTTGACGTGAAGTGGCCCTTTAACACCCCTGCAGTCAGAGGGAGGAAAGGAAAGCGGGGGGAGGAGAGAGAGAGAGAGAGAAAGCAGCTGGGGGGGGGTTGTTAATGGGTTATGATTTTTAGCATCTAGCAAAGTTATGAATTTAAATTCCCAGGCTTGTTTTTTGAAAGCGTTGTACAGGTTTCCTTTGAGGATGAAGACTGATAGGTCAGATATAGAGTGATCACTAAATGCCCCAAAAGCAAATATGTGGGTGAAACCAGATAATTGCTATGGTCTCAAATGAACTCTCACAGAAAAATAATAAAAGGCAAAAACACCCTGTCACCTGTGGGTGAATACTTTTCCCAAAGTGATCACTCGGTATCACTGCAGTGTTTTTAACATCGACCTACCCTAAGATTCCAGGAACGTCACTCTGAAGCCTAAAATGTCTGGTGAGTCAGTGCAAAGCAACAGATACTGCTACACGGATGGTTGAGAGCTCTTTTTGTTCAGAATATATGTAGGTCTATTGCACAGATATATGGCTGCATATAGGTCTATATTGTATGTCTTTGCATGTCTTTTAAATATTTTATTTCTCATGCTTTTTAAATAAAGGCATTTCCTGGAGGGTGTGGATCTGTTTGAGGCAAGAAGTAAATGATGTATTTGTAAGCCCCATTCTCAGAAGGCAGTAATTTTATAAAAGCTACACCCACTCCCACATGGTCTTCCCCGAGCTTAGCACTAGCTGAACACTGTACTATTCTGAGATTATAAACATTTCCATCAGATGTACTTCATTTATTTAGCAAGTGGTGGTGTGTTGCCTCTCTCCTTTTTGATAGTGTGATACAATATTTTTGTTTAAGTGGGAAAACAAAGGAATGCGTTCCCCAGGCCCTCATTCCTCCCTGTGCACACACATACCCAGCATTCGTGGTTGATGACCGGTGAGTGGGGAAATTTTGAATGGAACGCTTTTGTTAAAATATTGGCAGAACATCACTGGTAAGTCCATTAAAGTCAATGGAGTGACACTGGTTCAAAGCTGATGTGAGCTCAGAATCCAGTCCAAAAATTACAGCAAAGTACTCTCCTTCTTCAAACTGGAATCATATTCTACAGCTGCCCCAAGAGGGACTAAGGGAATTTATAAAGATACAAAAATATGGAATCATTTGCTGTCACATTTTTCTTGCAGGACGCTAGAACTGATGTTTCCATACTACATCAAGGCACCTAGTGATTCTCTGGCAAAACCCATAAAGCAACTATGGAAAGGTATGTACTGCAGGCTGTGGTTATCTCTATGTATATATTTTTTCATTGTGAAACACACAAGGCTGTTTAGGTAATAATGGGACTGTGTCAAGGAAGGTTGGGCTGCTGCTCTGCTCTGTTGTAGCTATTGTGTAGGTAAAAGGAGGATATCGGGCTCTAGAGCTATCGACCCAACACCTTTCACACAAGAAAAACCCTCAAAGCTGTGTTTAAATACTTAGCCCTTATATAGAATGTTTTAGCTGAGGGGCTGAAAGCACTTTGCCAAAGGTGTGTGAACATTGTTTACCCCCATTTTTTGAGATGGGAAAGTGGAGGCACAGAGAATTTAATAGCAACATTTTAAAACTTCGATACCTGAAGTCAGTCATCAAATTGCATAGTTAGGCATCCTCATGGGCTTTCATTTATTATTATTATAATAATTAGGAATTATGGTAGATCCAACCGAGGATCAGGGCCCCATAGTGTTAGGCCTTGTACCAACAAGTAAGAATTAACTGCCCAAAAACTTTGTTAATGCAGTTAAAACTTTGTTAAGGTTAACCCGAACCCTCATGCTCTTCTGGAGTGACAAGTGCACCTGTACAGAAACTGCTGAAAACCAGGAATTATACAGTTAAGGTGCACACTAGCCCCAGCCTGTAACCTTAACTCTGCCCTCTTTGAGTGATGCCCCCATACACTCCTGACAGATGTTGTAGCACTGTATCCTTCCAGATAATATGGAACGCTGTGGAGACACAGCATGTGGGCACAGTAGAAGAAACCATCAGACCATGGCAGGCTTAGAGAACACCAGCTGACTACACTTAGCCTGTACTCAACCACTCCTACATGCATTGACTACCTCAGAGAAACCGGCTGTTATAACCCCTTACAATCCCTTGGCCTTTGTACTAAGGTTTTCTCTGGTCGACCACCTACACTTACCTCTGTAGTGCCCTGTCACATATGCTACCCAACTACTATAAATCCCCAGGGCAAGAATATATTATTCTGCTCCTCTACTTCTGCAACCAACATAACTCAGCCCAGAAACAAGAGGATTGTGATCCTTTTGGGTGCATTTGCTCCTCTCATGTCACAGTGTGAGTTGTGGCAATCTGCTGCAAGTAATCCCTGCACCAGTCAGTACAGTGTCCCTAACACAGCGAAGGTCAGATCGAGTGCATGCAGGCAAATAAGAGAATACAATTCTGTGGGACACAATACGCACGAAATGACACATTTACCAAGTCATTCTTCATGTCTGCTTATTATAGGGCAGGCCTTCCTAAAATACACGTACAGTATAACTGCAGTGGCTTTTGCCAGTGCCAGAGGGCAGAGCGAAAGTTGCAAAGCGGCGCTGGTGTGTACCTTAACTCTGTATTTCCTGTTTTTCAGAGGTTTAAGTACTGGTACACTCAACATTCTGGAAGGGCATGAGGCATTGCTGCTCAGCTTGAACTCTGTACTGACTGACATTTTCAGACAGTGAATTTTCCTTGTTTTTTGAGGAGGTGATGGTAATGAGGGGGTCATGATTGCGGAGTACCTGAGGGGAGACTTGACTGCAACTCAGCTACCAGCTCTGTCCCTCTCCATGTCCCCAGTCAGGCTGGAGGAAGGAAGGAAGATGGTAACCAATGGTCTGTGAGGAGCACATCTACCAGCAGGAGGCAGCCAGGGTACTGGAGAGGAGCCCCAGGCTCTGTATTCCTCTTCACAGATAGTATAGGGGGAAGGAGTCCAACCCTCTGCAGAATAGGAAGTGGGGAGTAGCCCATTCAATGGGAAATTCTCAGATGAATCCAAACACTCCATGGAGACAAAGCCAACCTGACACAAGAGCTCTGACACATTCCTCTTAATGGGTGTTCTCCCTTCCTTTCCCAAACAGAGGTGGCGAGTTGTGTGGGCCGTGGTGCCCGGGCCCCAGGAATATTCAGGGCTCAGGGGCCTGGCTCCACCAATGTTCGGAGCCAGGTCTCTCCCTCCGCCCTGCCTGCCACCCCCGCGCGCCTCCCACATAGCATCCCTGCCTCAAGTGGGCGGCTGCCCTGCCGCTCTGCACTGCACTCCCTCGCCACCGCCGGCGGCAGGCTGAGGTGGCTGCTGCACCTGCGGCGGGAGGAGGGAAGGAGGCGAGCACATGACTGGCAGCCCTCCCCTCCCCCAGCACCCCCCGGGAGGCAACACTGAGGGTGCTTCTGGGAGACAGAGTCCGGACCTCACCTGAGCAGCTGCTGGGGCTTGGGTGAGTTTCCGACCGTATGATCCATGCCCTCCACACCCCTGCTGCAGCCGCCACTCCCGCCCCACACTGGGCAAGGGGCAGTCCCATCCCCCGGGAGACTACGGTGAGGGGCAGCAGGCTGCAGCCGTGGAGGCCAGCCCCCACCCCCGGCACCCACCACAGGGGAGGTGAGGAGGCTTCCTGGACCTGAGCAGCTGGGGCTTGGGTGTGTGTTGTGCCACCCTGATCCACCCACCACCCACCCCTGCCTGCAGTCACTGCTCCTGCCCCATGCTGGGCAAGAGGCAGCCCCCAGTGAGGCTATGGTGAGGGGCACCACGAGGGGAGGAGGTCCCATGTGATGGCAGCCCCCTCCCGGCACCCAGCACAGGGGAGGCAAGGGGGTTCCTGGACCCTGAGAGGGGCCCTAGGAGCACATTCAGTGACAGTGGTGAAGGGTGAGTGGGCTGCTGGGGAGAAGTGGGAGCCACTTCCACCAGAGCTTGCTGCTGCCAGCGGGGAGAGGGTTGCGGGGAGTCCTCTCTGGCCCTAGCCCCGGGGCTACATGAGGGTAGGGTCGTGTTTAGCACAATACTTGATTATTTTACACCCTTTAAGTATATAATTGGTTGTATACGCATACAACAAAATATAATGTATTGAAGCAGGTGAATGCTGCTTCTGACTTTCCACTTTTAATTGGCCCTTGTAATCTTGTGGCGCCGGCACGTTGCAGCTTCATTTTATCCCAGCAACAAATTCTTGATTTGTAGGACCAGTAATAATCAACAATGGATAAATTCCTAATAAAGTTACCCAGAGAAAGAAAGAAGAAAAGGGTAATTCATCAAGTGACTGCCTGAGTTCACCACCCAGCTTTCAAACTGAAGTTATACAAAAGAAATATATAGCACATCCACAAGATAAGAAAAGGAGTTTTCAGCAGTCTTGGCAATCAAGATTTACATGGTTGGAGTACAACAGCAAATTAGACAGAGCGTTTTGCTCAGTCTGCAAAGAAGATCTTAATATTTTCTACCAAGGCCGAACCAACGTTTATTTCATCTGGATTTCAAGATTGGAGACATACAGTGCGTGGTTTTACATCACATGAAAAATCCTCCTGTCGCAAGGAAGCGATACTGAAGTAGGTTGCTCTGCAGTCACAGATAAATGCTTCTGCACTAGTGTCGGCCAGTTACAGAAAAGAATCCCATGCGCTGCACAAGCTTTTTAACTGTGTTCAGTACGTAGCTCACAAAGGCATAGCATTACGTGGACATAATGAGAGCGATTCAGATTGGATGCAGCTCTTGTTGCTATGCAGTACAGAGTCAGAGGAACTGAGACAGTGGCTTAGTCACACAAAATACAACTGGCTGTCACATGAGGTTATTAATGAAATCGAAATGATGGCGCTCAGACAAATTGTGCAAAAGATCAAGGCTTCAAAGTTTTATGCCATTGTAATGGCTGAGACTACTGATTTGTCAAGAAAAGAACAAGTAAGTTTTTCTTTAGGGTTCTTTTCTAATGAAGACTGGGAGATTTATGAGGAGTTTATTGGGTTTTACCAAACTGATGCAATGGATGCTGCGTCTCTTTTCCAAAATGTGTAAGATACACTTCTCAGGTGTGATTTCCACTTTTCTGATTGCCGAGGGCAGTGTTACAGTGGAGCCAGTAATGTGTCCAGCAAATTTACTGGGATCCAAGCCAGAGTGAAGGATCAAGAGCTGAGAACAGAATTTGTGCACTGTGCGGCATGTTCCCTTATCCTTGCCACGCAGGCTGCCCTGCATAATGTTCCAGAATTTCATGATATGTTTTCAATGGTGAAAGATCTCATCAGTGCCTTCAGGGAGTCACCAAAGCGTATGGCAGCATTCAGAGAGTGAAGGGGCACCTTCTTTACGACTATTGTGCCCAACAAGATGGACACTAAGGATCAGTAGCATTAAATCACTGTTCCACGATTAGGAGGCTATGATGAACTGCCCAGATGAATTTGGCTCAAAATGTAGTGGATTCTCGAAGCTCTCAAAGAACTTCAATCTTTTTCAACGTATTTTATACTAACGGTTCTTGAGAAAGCCATGGGTCCTGTAGAAGAAGCTAATACAAAAATTCCAAGCCCAAACATGTCATTGGCAAGTGTTATGAAGAAAGTTGGCTTGTTGCAAGAGGTATTGAGTGGGATGCACACTGACTCGTCATACAATCACTTCTGGGAAACAACAGTAGAGAAGGCAAGAAATTTTTATTTAGATGATCCTACACTCCTGAGAAAATGGAAGCCACTGAGATGGCTCGACCCTGGAAGCCTTCCTCACACCTTCAGTGACCCCAAAGGGTATTTTCATAAAATATATGTTGGGATCATTGATGCTTGCAAAGTTGCCATTGAACAGAGGCTTTCAACAGACAGCTTCACATTTGCAGTAAAATTGGAGAAGCATATAACTGATGCAAATGGCTCGAAACAGGATATTACCCCAATAAGTGAAGCTTTCCATGGTGACATTAACATGGAGAGGCTATCTCTTCATTTAGAAATGTTGAGTGATATTTGCAGATTGAGAAATTGTCACCTTAATTCGGTGAGCGAAGTGAAGCTATTTCTGAAACAAAATGAAGGCTTGAGTGACATGTTGTCAGAAGTTACAATTCTCCTGAAATTATTCTACACAAGTCCGACTACAACCTGCACTACTGAGTGATCATTCAGTTGCCTGCGCAGACTGAAAAAATTATTTGCGAACGACAATGGGCCAAGAACATCTAAATTACTTGGCATTTCTGCACATTCGTAAGAACTCTATCTCTGAATTGGACATTGCAAGTCTCCTGGATGACTTCATTTCAAGAACTGAACAACGACAAAAAGTGTTCGCTGCCTCCTGAAGAACATCGCAAAAGAAGGGGCTACATTTGTTTTAATTTTAGAAAGTATTTACTTTTGGAGGGTTATTAATCCAAGCGTGCTTGGTTATTTCCGTATTCAAGAGTATTAATAAAGTTGATATTCTTAGTTAAATAATTTTTTCTTACAATAGTGATATTGTGCAATATCGAGAAACTGGTAAACGCTCACTGTTTCCAGTCCATTTTTACATTATTTTAAAATATATATCGGCTTACAAGGCAGGTGTGGGTGGGACTTGGATCCTTTCTGGGCACCACCAAAAATTATACAAACCTGCCACCCCTGTTCCCAAAGTCTACCAGAGAGAACTCTCAATCTAGGGCATCAGATCTTGAGGAGACACAATTAACCTTACACACTTTGGAGTCCCACTGAAGTCAACAGAGTTAATGTTAAGCTCTTGAATGAGTCCTTGCAGGGCCTAGACACAACTAGTTTTCAGAAGTAATTTCATTTGGAGTTGTGAGTGCCCAGCATGTCTAAAAAATCAGGCCTCATTTATTTAGGTCCCTAAATTTGGATAGTGGCCGACATTTGCACTCAAGTTTGAAAATGTTGGCCATATTTGTTTCTATGAAGTTTTAAATCTGGTTATGTGAGAAAAATTTTAAAAAGACCATTCAAAAGGGATTTTGGGAGGGAAAACACAAACTTTAAAAGGCTAGAGAACCATTGTAGTGCTGTTCTATAAACTATTTTAAAATGGGTTCTAAGATTGTTTTAATTGACTTATTTTTTAGGTTGCACCGTCACTGTGGCATATTAATAAGCATCTGATCCTAACAAATTTGACTTATTGACAACATGCTTGTTTTTGTGTTAATGTTTTCTCTTTCAATAGAGGGGAGGATGGAAAACATCACTGTTTCTCTTGTCAAAAATGAGTCTAAAGATGGGGTTCGTGAATGGTGGGTTCTCAATCAGCTTGGAAAAAGATACAGACAGGAAGAAAGTCTTGAACTCTTTGTATTCAGTGACAAAGTTAGCCCTCCTAGCCTTGGATTCTTGGCAGGCTATGGGTAAGAGAGAATCTTGTACTTAAAACCACAGTACTGTCTAGCAGAAATAATTTAAGGTGAACTGAGAAATGTATCTCCTGTTGACCAGCGTTTTGTGTAACAGATGACAGCATCACAAATACCTAAAATAAATCATAGAGGTGCAGGACTGGCCCTAGCCCCACCGGAAAAAAAAAAAAAAAAGTGCATTAAGAAGGGAGTAAATTTCAGGATTTTGTGGCGATTAAGATCTTTTTTTAGAATCTCTAATGGCCTTCATAGCTATAACATCATGGTATCAGAGACACGGTATTCCTTATCTTAGGTGGAATAAGAACCCTTCACTAGAAACCCCTAGCAGCTGGATAAAGAAACTGATTTTAAACAGTTTTTTTAAAATAGGTTTGTCATTCTCAATTATAACTAGAGACCGAGTTCTGCCCCCCTGGTGTTTTTCCATTCTCAGGATCGGGGATTTGCTCCCCCTACACAACATCCATGTGGAGTGGGGGATGGACCATGATGGTTGTTTCACCATCCTGCTGCTTACCCTTCCAAAGAACCCTCTCCGTGCTCAGGAAACCGCAGCTGGGAGGGAGAGGCGGACAAGGCCGAAGAGAGGACATACATTGTCTTCTCCCATAACCCTGCAGGGAAATTAACACGGTCTGAGGCTTTTCTGCGTATGCCCTCCCACTTTGTGGAATATTCCTTCATGGGGTTTTAAAGGGAGCGGCCAATGGAGGAAGCATTAGCAGCCCAGCTTCACAGGCCCCAGACCTTGTAGAGCATTATGGTTAATCCTAGCCTCCAGCATATCTCAGGGATCTGCAAGTTCTGGTAAAGAAACCTTAGCAGAAAGATAAACCTGCTGGAGGCTCTCTCTACAGGAATGATTTGGGGGAACCTGCAGTAGGAGAACCCCAAGAAGATTCCTCTCCTCAGCATGTTTTCCACATGGGGTGGGGTTTTTGTCCCTTTATGATTTTAATAGTATACAATTTTTAAAAAGATTTTTAGAAATGATTTTATGAGAAATGTTTAGGTTTTGAAGATTACATATTATTATTCCTAATGCGTAACACAGTTGATTTAGTAGAAATGGTCATCTTTCATAAACCCATCACCACCTTAGTTTTATCAGCATTTGCCTGTATTTGGATTTATAACCAGATTAGAAAAACCTCTTTGAACTCTTGTTTTACAGTATCATGGGACTGTATGCCTCAGTTGTCCTGGTGATAGGGAAGTTTGTCCGTGAGTTCTTCAGCGGGATCTCTCACTCCATCATGTTTGAAGAACTACCAAACGTGGACCGTATCTTGAAGTTGTGTACTGATATTTTCTTAGTAAGAGAGACTGGAGAACTGGAACTAGAGGAAGACCTGTACGCCAAATTAATATTCCTGTACCGCTCACCAGAGACTATGATCAAATGGACTAGGGAAAAAACTAATTGATCCCTTTGGAGTCACACTGCAAATCAAGAGGACTTCATCTGAATTTTAAAAAAGCACAATATTCTCATAAGAGCTAAGCCTTTTATAGTTAGGTAGCAATGATTTTTCACAGATTGAGTCTAGGAAGCTACTTCCTTAGGAGTCCATGCTGCCTTCAAATTAAGGATTAATGGTGAAGAAGATTGGTTTGATTTTTTTTTAGAATGCCCACTCCTCTAAAATCAGGGGACCTTGCTTTGTAATTTAATCAACCAAATGTTCTGCATCCTTGTCTAGGTAAGTTAATCTTCCAGACATTAAATTTCTACCCTTAAAGAAAAAGGAAAGAAAGAAACGATCCCTCAGATGACTTCACTGGACCTTTTCTGGAGCGATACAGTTTGTGCAATATGCTGTTGTACGTCACTGACTTTGAAGATATAGTAATGGGAATCTGACTAGCCTTCAGGACAACCATGCCAAAAGGCTATAGTGGGAGCTGAAGAAATGCTAGCCATATCCATTTTTAGAAAAGCAGGGGTTTTGATGTACCGAAGACTCTGTGGACAACCCTCTGTAAGCAAAAAGAAAACAAGTGACAATCTCTTTAATTACCTTATTTTATTTGTACAGTCCCAGAAGACATTTCCAGGAAACATCAATGACTTTTCTCAGGAAAAAAAACTTGGTTTTAGCCCTTAGTTAAACCTTAAAGAATTATGGTGAAATATTGGGGTGTTCTGCTGGGCCATCTTCCCACAATTACTGCTTTCCTTTAGACAGAGAAAAGCCAACTGAACGACTAAGGAGCGGTTTCACTTCTTATATCTCTTTGAAGACTGAATAGTGTGTGCTACTCTGTGCTTCCCACTACATGCTTCCCCTCCCTCCCCCATTTTGATGATTTAAGGCAATGGTTTTGTTATCTGATATTCTCCTTTCAGTGTTTCAGGTATACAAAAATGTTTACATATTCCAATTTACATTTTTACATCCGAGACGGGTTTTTTAAGTTCCCAAATATAGAAGTACATATGAGCTTGAAAAATGGCCTTTTCTTAAATTACTATGGTTGGTGACACAAACGGTTCATTAGAGAACATTGTAGCATGAAAATTTACGATTGCAATATAGGATTAATTCCATGTTTAAAAAAATGCAATTTCTGAAAAACAAAATAATTGAGTGGGTAGGGTATGTTAAAAAGGTTATACTGTGTAGTTTTGATTCAGTAATGACTTAAAATAAAGCACATGATGCAAAGTCATTTTAGAAGTATTTTTTCTTCTTCCTCTTTACACTAAATGGGAAGCATCTTTATCTAGTTAAACTGTTCACAGTGGAGTTAAGGTCAGTGACCAATCATATTCTTTCAGTTAGCTGCTGCTATTTGTTATATAAATGATGTAGTCAGTTACCAGAGGGCAAAAAATACAAGGTAACTTTCAGCTAAAGGGACAATTGTAGCTTTATTGGCACATCTTAGTGCAGGGCTTTATAAAAACAGCACAGTTGAAATTACAACACACTTGCCGTCTTATTCAGTTCTTCCATGAAAGTGGTGTCAGTTCCATTCTATACCCTAGCAGCGCATCTTGGACACTGTGAAGTGCTTTGTTATATTGTAACAATAAAATCAACTGGTGTCTGGAAGGCTATTTGATTTCTTCATACACCATAAAGAAAAGGTGGTAGTTGTTCTATAGGCTGGCAAGATTTCTGGTTGTGCTGAACATTCCTCTGTGGAGTGATTTACTCTTCAAAGTCTAGTTCTTCCTCACACCATGGCCATCATGTGACTCTATGCAGGGGTTACTGTAGAACCAGTATAGGGACTGGCTGGCCTAAGAGAGGCAATACTGTGTGTTCCCCTTTTCTAAACTGAAGAATAAGGTACTGGGAGTTAAATGTGGCTGGTGTGTAACGCTTCCAAAATGTACCAGCCAACCAGCCTACTTTGACCACTGTTGTCTCTCCTCCCTCCTTAATAGGCTCTTATTTACTGGTGAAAAACTTGGTCGCAGAATGAACTTGACAGCCTTTTAGATTTGCAAAACGGCTCCTTCCTTTTCATTAATTGACTAAACAATCTTTCTACCTGACCTGTCATGCACTCCGTAGTTCAGCCATGTCAGTGCATGTACCTCCAGCTCAAGCTACAAAGGCCTTAGGCAATAGCATGGTTTTGTGAAAGAGCTCATGCCTGCCAACAGTTTGGGGAAACGGAGCCCTAACTTGAAGTGCTGAGCTTTCTTGGTCAAGGCAAGAAATTCAAGTCTCAAGCAGGTGGATGCTAGGTAAAAATAAGAGAAACTATTAGACATTGCATCTTATAAACTTCAGTGCTTATAGGCTGCAGGGTAGACATACCCTTAAAGTCAATGGAACCTTTAACCACTGACTTTGAACAGTACAAGGATCTGACCATAAATTCAATATGGATTTCCTATCATTGCAAACAGCCATATTTTGGAAGGTTAGTGGGGAAAAGATGGTTAGGAGACATGCTGCCAAGTTCCACACAATTTCAGTCATTTTAAATTTTTGGCACTCTATACTAGTCTAAAAGGCATCTGTGCAGACTAAGAGGGAATGAGTACACAGTTGTTTAGACAGTAAACTATGAGGGGCATTGTCTCTTTATAGTCCACTTACCACTTGGCAACTCCTTGTGGCCAAGTGTGGCATAGCAGCTCTCTGGGCTGATGCCCCCCGCCAACGGTCATTCCCCTTTCTGCAGCTCTTCCTCAGCCTGGCTTCAGCTCAGCCTACAGCCCTTATGTTGGGCTTGTGCACGCCTTTCCTTGGGACCATTAGTGGAGCCCAGTGCCACCTGCTACTCTTGGTTCGGGCTCAGGGCTGCTCCTTTTAGCTGGGGCAGTAGTTTTCCATGGGTGCTTCGTCTAGGTCCCTCTGTCTCTCCCAGGGCCCTGCTTGAAGTAATTTCCTTTCTCTCTGCTTTCTGCCTGGCTCTCTCCAGCCCTTTTCCCAACTGGGCTTTACCACCACTTAATCCTGGCTCTCGTTTTCCAGTACTGCAGCCACCTTCTGCTCTTTATGGGGAATTTGCCTGATTCCCCTCAATCAAGAGGGCTCAACCTCCAGCTCCCAGGGCAAGCCACCCTGTTACACTCTTACTTGAGCTTTGTACTGTACTGGCACAATGGGCCCTGATGTCAGCTGAGGCCCGTTAAGAGCCTTAGTAATGATACATACCACTGGAACATATGAAAGGGGGCAGCACCTGTTGAGACTAGTCTCATTTCTACTGCTATGTGGGGGGGGGGGAGGAGGGGCGCAAACCCGTTTAGTTGAATTCAGTTTTACTCCTTTTTAATTTCAAGTTTAAAACTGCCTTGGTTTGTCAGTATGATTTAAACAAAAACCCATGGTCAGGCTCCAGGCTAGGACGGATGCATTAACCTTCTGAGGACAACATTTAAACCAGCACACTTAGAAGAAAACACTTTAAATCAAAGCATGTCTAGAAATTAGCCCTAAACTGGCTAGTTGTCAGCATTCAGCATGTTAAAGCAACAAAAACAGCTACAGCGTTGCTCATTTTTCTTGCTTTTCCTTTCTTAATATAAAACATAAGACGTGACCCCTCTCTCGTATGCTTGGTGTATTGCCTGTTTGCCAATGGCTTTTTTCTTCTCCCAATGAATAACTGCAGCAGCTCGTATTCCTTCCAACAGCTTTGTCAGAGCAGTTTAAGTACCTGAAGTGAAGTAGAACCTAGTTACCACACGTTCATTTAGGGCAAACTTGAAAATTCTTTTTCTTTGTGCAATCAGCAGTGCTAGCAGGGAAGCCACCCTGCACTAACAGTAGGGTTGCCAGGCATCCAGGTTTTGACTGGAACGCCGGCTCAAAAAGGGACCCTGGTGCTGACTAGGCCATTAAAAGTCCGGTGGGTGGAGCAGTGAGGGCCCGGGGCTGAGGCAGGCTTCCTGATTGCCCTAGCTCCATGCGGCTCCCAGAAGCAGCTGCAAGGTCCTTGCAGCCCGCAGGCACATGGGCAGCCAGGGAGGCTTCTCACACTGCCCCTGCACCAGTGCCAGCTCCGCAACTCTCATTGGCCGGGAACCACGACCAATAGGAGCTGCGGGGACGGTGCCTGTGGGCATGAGGGCAGTGCATGGAGCTGCCTATCCGCCGGGACCTGGTGGCTGCAGTAAGCTTGATGGGGTGGGGAACAGTCAAATTGGTGCATACTTCAGCTGTTTTCCTAGCAGTTTTTATCTCCCTTTAATGGATAAAGTTGCTCAGGCTTTTTATACTTAAGGTCCAAGTTTCTACTTTCCTAAGACACGTGGGCTTGGTGAAATACAGGTGAGTAAGCAAGAAGCCCTACTGTAGCAATCAGGTTCCAGAGAGTTCTAATTTAAGAATGAGGCTTTACTAAAGGGATTGTTGCTTAATTATTATTTGTATTATCCCAAAGACTCCATTTGGCATAAGGTCCTCATGCACGTGCTAGGTGCTGTACAAAAACATACAAAGATCTAGTTGCTGCCCTGAAGTGACTAATCTAATCAACAAAGGTGACAAAGCAAAAATTCAAGGGACATGTTTTCACGTAAAAAGGGGGAATCTGTGTGCCAGCGTAACACCGACAGACCCCCGCTCAGCAGCTCTGGAGCTTAGTGCATGAACCTCTATAGCATGAGCTAAAAGCTAACTGGCTCTTTGAGAGAGGTAAAAAATTAGTTTACTCTACAGCCTTAGCTAAGTGGTCTCTGTGCCACTAGATAGGACAGAACACCACACCCAGGAGGTGTGTAGGTTACGCTGGCATTCTAAGGGATGTTAGCAGATTTTTGCTCATCTCTTATTTACTGCTTTTCTATCTTTTTTCCCTTTTAAGTAAAAACCTAACATCTTAGTAAGAGCGCAGGGGCAACTGAGAAGGGTAAAGGCACTAGGGATTAGGCAGGGGCCCAAGAGGGGGATACATCTACACTGCAATTGAAAACCCATGGCTAGCATGTGCCAACTGACTTGAGTTGCAGGGCTCAGGCTAAGGGACTGTTTAACTGCAGTGCAGACATCCAGGCTCGGGCTGGAGCCTGGGCTCTAGGAACCCATGAGATGGGAGGGTCCCAGAGCTCAAATATCTAGACCACAATTAAACAGCCTCTGAGGCCTGCAAGTCCAATTCAGCTTGCAATTAGACACCTGTAGCTGGCCCATGCCGAATAGACATACCCCGAGAGGCCCACTCAGCAGGTGTTTAGGGAGAAGAATCGCCTCGAGCTACCAGAGACTTGAAGGAAGAAGGGACAGAATCACCAAGAGATTGGGAGAGTGAAAAAGAGAGAGATTTTCTGATGGAGAAAGTGAGAGGGGGATGTGGATTTGGATAGATGTTTTGGACTGCCAGAAAAACAGGCTAGATGAAAAGGCCCCTTCTTATACAGTTTTGGAGCATGATTTGAATTTGGCTCGGACCCTGTTTGGATTATTGTGACAGTGCTGGGTGGCGGAACTCAGGTATTCCTGGAGGTAACAGGCAGAGCTGGTTGCAATGTTTCAGCTGACCTTTTCGGTTAAGTAAAAAAGATGTAGTTTTGTCAGTGTTTCATGAAATCAGGTCACTTTCATCCAAAATTTTAATTTTTGATGAAAATACGGACATTTCAAACTGACATTTTTGTTGCCAGTTGGGCTTCTGAAGTCCAAAAAAATGTGCATTTTTTCAGATTTTTTTTTACCCTCTCTTACATTTTACTTGCCTTCCTCATTTCTTTTTCCACTGGAAAAAGGAGGAGAAGGGGGAAGGATAGACTACAAAATGGGGACAGTGTGTGTGAGGAAAGGTCTCTCCCTTTTCTACTCACTTTGCCCCCCGTTTTTCAGGGGGGTAGAGAGGGAAGAGAACAGAGAAAGGCAAAACACACACACAATTCTGTTTTCAAAAGCCAAAATGAAATAAAAATTTCAATTTGAAATTAAAATTTCAGATTTTTCATCAAAATGTGAAGTTTTCTGTGAAAAAGTTGGAACAAAACTGTTTTGTTCAAGAGTTTTCTTGGAAATAAAATTGGATTTTTCCACCCGCTCCGGGAACAGGAAAAAAAACCAGTTTCACTCCAGAAGCGTTTGTGCTGTAGGTTGTTTAGAACGCCTTAAAATCCGGGCTAATCAGACAGGGATTCTTTACATCATATTCTTTTTCCATTTCAATTAAGAGAATTTTTATTTAGTCCTTTCGTGGTTATTGAGTGAGACATTTCATCATTTCACAAGTGCCTTTCATCCGGG